GGCACAGAGTCTCCACTCTTAACACACCTCAAAGTTTTGATACCTCTCTTGCCTGTTGTTGTTGTTGTTGTTTTTGTTGTGGTGGTGGGTGTGGTTGTGGAGTTGATATTCCACCACGGTCATTCTTCACTCCTTGGCTAATGTCTTAACAACTCCATGGGTACCCCAAACCTCAAATTCCACCCACCCTCTCCCATTTGCGTACTCTGACATCTTGTTTTCAATCCCTACGCTTCCTCCTAGTCTTGAAACAACAACTTTCATCTCTGCTTTGAGAACTCATCTTTCACCCTTGTTCTAGGGGCTGGGTGATGACCGCGGAACTCCCCTTCCCCGGCTGATGCTCTTCGTTTCTCCGACACCGGCCGTTCCTGAACAGATCTGATGTTTAATTAAATAGTGTTTGAAAGAACAACCCTCGTTTGCCAAAGTATATGTCACTGGTGTTTTCTTTCGACATCGTTATTGTATATTAACTATCGTTTCGTCAGGCTTTCCTCTGATCCTACTTGGTCTACTTCCTTTCCTATCTTTCTGCGTGGTGTCAAGATATCTCCGCCAAAGGACCCCCACCAGGCACGAACGTCTCCAGCACACTCTCTGAACATTGCTCAATGGCATTTTAGACTACCGTGATATCTCCCTTCGTGATCTTTACTTATATATCTTTTCTCAATCGAGTGTGCGGATTCGTTAATACTCCGGAACTTGGCACGATGTTGAGCTCCCAACCCCAATATTCTGCGGTGTTGCCAATGCACACTTCTTCCCAGCCATCATCGTCCTTATCTACGCCATATATGTCATTACCAGCTCACAAATCATCTACGAACACCTCTACCCGCGATGGCCCATACAGCAGCCCGACAGAGTCAGAATTCTCAGAGGGATATGATACGCTGGACTCTGTTCGGTTGGTTGATTACCTTCCTTTGGGGCACAAATGCTCCAACGAACCATACCTTCTTCCAACCCACTCTGACAGACTTCTTTTTCTACAGGTCGTGGGACGAGAAAAGGGTGATAGATTGGCTACATAGTATACGATGCGGTCAATACGAGCCGCTCTTCAAAGGTATGCGAAATCGCATCGAGTTCCCTGATGTGTTCCGTGCCGCATGTGAACCATCGTCCGTTTAACTAAACTTGGAACTTACCAGCAAATCACTTCAATGGCGATAATCTCCTTGACTGCGATCAGAAGATTCTTCAGGAAATGGGAATAAAGAAAATCGGAGACCGGGTCCGGATTTTCGTGGCCATCAAACAACTCAGGAACAAAAACGCGTCGAATCGCAAAAAGCGCAATAGGGTAAGTTTAACGTTTTTGCTGGAAACTCCAATAATCCCTTATTCTTATCAAGATATTATAGGATTCATTAGTTGCCCTCGATTCTGCGAGCTTCGTACCCCCTTCTTCTGAATCTCCCCGCGGAGCAAATTCTCGACAACAGGCGGGAGGAAATCGCCGATGGTCACGCCATCTAGACCCTCCTCTAACAAGCTACAACACAAGCTACACAGTACCGGGGAAATCGTCCAGACCGTCTTCACCCCAAGCAGATTCTGAACGCGGCTTGCGACCGTATCGGTATCCAGTCGCTAGCCCGATGGAAAGTTCACGGAGGGAACAAGGTTCGAATTACTTTAGCAATTACCCCAATTCCGGTTCTAACACCACCCGCTATCCAGGAACTCCAGGAGATGTCCCCCAAACTGCCAGAACGGTCACCCACGTCAGACAAAGTCCCAGCATGGATGGAATCACCATGAGCTCCCTTCCTCCAAATTCGCCGGTTATTCGAGTGATACATTCCGGCGGACAGACCAAAGTCTTGAACATAAAGCATTGTAAAAGCCCAGAGAATATTCTCATCTGCGTTTTGAGAAAACTTCTACTTCCAGAATCCCATTATAAAAACTACTGCTTTTATGTTCTGGACGGCTTAGATCCAAACCCAGGCAACTGCCGTCGCTTGTCGGATTCAGAACTGCTTAAAATATGCGATGGATCCCATAGATCGGAACGCGGCCGGCTAATCCTGAGGAAAATCCACGCTGGTGAACCCGAACCGGAAGAACTCCAGAGAGCAGCTCAGATTGCCCTTGATGAGACTCAGACGGCCCATTTAAATGCCCTCAGTGGCACCAACGTGCGGAACCAGATCAAGCTGCAAAAGCTGACTGGCGAGTCATGGCATAACATTAGACAGCCACTGTCACCCATGTCCTCTGACCGAAATAGAGATGACTTCCAAAGACAAACACCTTCAGAAAGACATCAGTCTGCGAAGTTGCGGTCGTTTTTCGGTGCTCGACCACCAAGTGAAATGATTATTCATGAGCTCACGTCGTATTTTCCAAGCCACCAGAAGGAAGACATTGAAAAGACAATGCGTTTATCAGTCCGAAGATCTCAACGTATGAGCCGTGCCGCAAGCCGTCTGAGTGTTGTTAGCAATTCCAGCTATGCCTCAAGTCTGAGAGATGCCCCACCCATCCCTAGTATTGCAGACACTTGGTTGACTGGAACTAATGGTCCTGGTGGGAGACCTGCGAGACCATTGTCTGTTTCCAAGTTCAACCTGCCACAGATTTCATTCCGAGATTCTATAGTGTCCACTTCCCTACAGCCACTGCAAGAAGAAGAATCTCTTGAACCTAACCGAAAATCATATATTTCCTTTGACAGTGGCTCCGACCAGACTTCCGGGGAGACTGATCGTCAGACTTTCTTGGACGAGACACTTACCCTGAATGATGGTGGATCGATCAACGAACGCCTTAGCATGATAGTTGCAGAGGATGGAGAGGAGCAAGACGATGGCTTGAATGCTTTCCTGGCTGGCGACAATTTCGGTAACAAAAACTGGATGAAGGGATCTCTCATCGGCGAGGGCTCCTTTGGAAGCGTCTTCCTCGCCCTCCACTCCATCACTGGGGAACTCATGGCTGTTAAACAAGTAGAACTCCCTTCAGCAACCCAGGGAACAGAGTTCGACAAAAAGAAGAACATGATGGTTGCTGCCCTCAAGCACGAAATTGACCTTCTCCAGGGTCTCCAACATCCAAACATCGTCCAGTATCTCGGAACATCAGCAGACGAACAACACCTGAACATTTTCCTCGAGTACGTCCCCGGTGGCTCCATAGCCATGATGCTCAAGCAATACAACACCTTCCAAGAACCCCTTATCAAAAACTTCGTTCGCCAAATCCTCGCCGGCCTCTCCTACCTTCACAGCCGCGACATTATCCACAGAGACATAAAGGGCGCCAACGTCCTCGTCGACAACAAAGGCGGCATCAAAATCTCCGACTTTGGCATTTCCAAACGCGTCGAGGCATCCACCGTGCTAGGCAGTGGTGCGAACCTTGGCGGGGGAGCAGGCCACTTACACCGCCCTTCCCTCCAGGGAAGCGTGTACTGGATGGCACCCGAAGTCGTGCGGCAAACGGCGCATACCAAAAAGGCCGACATATGGAGTCTGGGCTGTCTCGTCGTTGAGATGTTCATTGGCGCCCACCCGTTTCCTGACTGTAGTCAGCTGCAGGCTATATTTGCGATTGGAAGCAATCAGGCACGGCCCCCGCCGCCAGAAAATGCGAGCAAGGAGGCCATGGCGTTTCTGGATATGACGTTTGAGATTAATCATGAGAAGAGACCGAGTGCGGACGAGTTGCTTAGCAGTCCCTTTTTAAAGCAGGCCATGCCGTGAAAGTTGGCTTTACATGCGTTGTTTTGAACTTTGTGATTTACTCTCTGCCTTTGGACGCCTTTTGCCTTTACCCTGTTGTTTCCTTTTAGGTTTCTAAGAGATCCCTTGGTTTTCATGAGAGCAACGGCTGAATGAGACGCATTTCTTTTCTATTTCCCCCCTTTATATTTGCCACCTGGCTGGTACCATTTATCGTCGATAACATTCATGTCTGACGTTATGATATGCAAATGCATGCTATATCATGTGTTACTCTGCTTGAATCCCATTTACTGCTGCCCGCTCTTCATGATCTCCCGGCCATTCCCCTTCCCTTTCGTATTCTACCATCAATATCGTGAGATTTCCAGCATTACTATGTTTATGTTGCCTTAACTTCTCTTCCTTTAGATCTACTCCGTATTCAGATTGTTCCCACAGCGTGCATCTTGATTTTGCTCACCAAAAAAGACTTGATGTTTTTATTTTTGAGTTTGTCCTCGTTATTTTATTTTAGCTATTCATCAAGCGGGCTTGTTCCTTTAGGAAATTGCATATAGTATAATGTTTTGATGTGAAGGTTTCAAATTCGTTCTCTACATGTCTTCAAGTGAGATAATTGTGAAGCATAGACATGATTGGAAAACATGCGGCTGCAACGACCGGGCTGGTTTCCAAGGCTAACTTTCCATAACGTGAAATTCGGGTTCGGGAACACTCGAGTAGAAAATTAGAAAGTTTATACCGTGGATTCACTGGGGATTTACCATATCCATAGATATCAAACACAAAAACCCCGCTCAACGGTAGAAAGATCCTTACTTGACCGTTTTGTGGCTTTCAGGGATTAGGGCCGGAGGAGAACTCGGTGACCTTGAAGAAGTGAACGGAGATGTCCACGGAGCTCTTGTATCTGCTGACTCTATGGACGGATTCATGGATGATTCACCGGAGAGCAATCTCTTATTATTATTATTATTATTACATCGTATCATGTTATCCCGATGGAAAGTTGGGACAATAAGTTAGTTGTGTTGTATTTAGAAAAGTGCATCGCACGGGTATAGCACTACAACATCAAGATAAAAGAAAATTGTCAGGCTATAGCATGAATAAATACAAGTAAATAGTTAGCAACATGCTCCCAGCCCATCCTAATAAAAGTACATGTGCATTACAAACCAAAATGTGGGGCGGGGAAGGCCTCCAAAAACGAAGAAGTAATGCAGATCAAAGGTCCGCAGAAGGAAATCAAACACCCGCAGTGACAGGATCTTTTGGAGTTGTTAGGTGTCGTTGATTCTAATTTATGTATTTCCCATGAAATGGAATGCCCATTGCGTTCAGGAGGAGTCGGGCATCACGGTCTGTTGTCGCGGTCGTGTGGATTGTTATGTTGCAGCCGGGCATCATGGCTGGTGGGTACCTATATAAATGCAGAGGGGAAAAGTTAGATATGTCCAATTTTTCGCCAAAATAAAAAGCCCAAAGTTGACGTTAGGCGAAAGAAAGAGAGGGCAGGTTTCAACGTACATATCATAATTAACCTCAATCTCAGGGAACAAAGACAACATATGCGGCTCAAGACCAAATGAGATATTCCCACTGCTATCACCACTGCTCCCCTTGATGCCTTTCCAATCCTTAATTCTAGGTAGCACCACATCAACCAACTTCCCGAAGAAATGATACATATCTTCACCCCTCAGCTCAGCCGTAACGGCAATGTGCGATTTACCGGGAACAATTCCCCACTTCGCAACGCTCCCCTTCATCTTATGTGTCTGCACGCGCACATTGGATATAGCCTGTATCGCCATGCCAGCCACATGCAGCGGCGCCGACCCGTTTTCGACAACCTGCTTCACATAGCTGTGCAGCGTGATCTTGTCTAGCTTGGGAATATTTCGGAACGTTATGGGTTTGCGGAGGAGACGGAGAACGTCGCCGCCTCGGGGGCCACGGAGGGGCCGGTTTGCGTGGTATGGGGAGCTGTCGTCCCAGCCTCGAAGTCGGGAGGGGGGAGGGGGTGCTTTGAATCCGGGTGGATTGTGCACATAACAGAGGGTAAGAATGTCGTGAGATATGGTGGATTCGTAGGTTTGCTCGACTCGGGGGAGGGTGAAGGGGCCTGGGATGAATTGGCGGGATGCGGGGTCCCAGGCTGGTGGTGGGCGATGGGGGTGGAGGGGGCCACGGTCGAATTTTGGAGGGCGAAATTGATAGCTGGATTGGATGGTGTGAGTTTGCGAGAGTTGAGATGAACTCAGCCATTGGTGTAGGGGAATTGGAAGCTTACCGGCTGGGGGGTAGTTGCTTTTTCCGCGCTTTGCTTCTGGCTACTGGATCGAACGCTTTGATCTCGTCCTCTGGCAGAGCAGATGGTTGGGAGAAGGTCGAAGATGTGTCGAGATCATCCGTGATCGTTTCGGGAAGAACGGCCGATGCGGACGAGGCATTGCGACGGCACGACGGGATCAGGTGGTTAGATAAGAGAGTAGAGGCTCTGGGCAGCACCCTATAAATCTTTATTGAAGGTTCACGGAGAGCCATTGCTGCCGCGTTGGACATTGGATCGAGCCCGTTTCTTCAGGCTTCGTTATAGCAAAAAGTTCCGGAGACTTTGGAGAGTTTTGAAAATTATCGGGCACGTGGTTGTTAGCTAAGGAATTAGTCACAAAGTTTTGAGTTTCTTTAACGGGGAAAGCGCACGTTTGGCCGCTCCGGTTGCCTTGGGAAAGTTCGACCATTCGTCATCGTAACCTCAGATCGTCTTGGCTCCAACAACTTAGCAACTTCTGCAACTTCCACGTCCCCCCAATGGTCAGTGAGACATACCTACACTTCATTGCATATCGAAGAAGTCCTCTAACACGCACTCCTTGTTGGCCAGTCTTGCTGGGATATCCTTGTGATTATTTGTTTCTCTTGACCCAATATCTTACGAATTGACATCATAAGCCCCGCAGAGCTCTAGATAGATCTCTATGTTCTGCTTTGCTGGAGGGGTATCAGCTGAGGCGGGATACCTGATTCCCCCACAAACAGCGTCCCCTCCTGGCCATCGCCAGATACATAATCGTGACAAGGTAAACCCTTTTATTTACCCTTTTGTGCTATTGTTAATTGTGCTGCCTGGTGGCAATTCGACTCCTGCTGACACATTTTCATCTGCTCGAACCTAGGCCACGATGTTAAAGGTGTAAAACCGTTGAGAGCATGCCGCTGGATAAAAACCAGCATCCATTTAAGCTCAACTCTTTTATTGCCGTTAATTTTTTATCCGTGAATGAAACACTGTAATAATTTGACGAACCGACATGACTGGAATTTCGGCATTCCTTCCCAGGAGAGACAAGCGAAGTAAATCGAGAAATGCATTTCCATCCAAGTGGCGGATTCCATTACGCTCTAATGTTGTGAGTTATGTGTTGCAATTTCTCTTTTACTTTAATATTCTTTTAATCATCTATTTAAATTTTTTTTTTATTTATATAACCGCCCCCCCCTTTTTGCATCTTTGAAGAAGAGGCATTTGCACTGTTGGACACGGACTGATCCAACCCCCTAGGCTCCCACGGCCGACCAAAAGCTTTTCGCGCCTTTGAAACTATTCTCAGTGGATAAATCAGATTTAAGCCACACTATCGATATTGGGAAAGAGGATTTAAAGGTGCGCTCTGAGGTGTCACCGCTACTGGTTATGTTCCTGACGTCCTTATTAGATTGAAGAGATACAAAGCCAACTGCTGAAGTTAGGGGTTACCGTTCTAGGAGAGTCGCAAATACGATATGCTCTCCGTTCTGAAATATCTCATGGCGATGTGGACGAAGCATTGGAATTTCTTGTGCTCCTTGAAGATTCCCTCCATGGCATTATAAATAGCTACAATCCTTCCATTAAGCTGCTTGGTGCTGAAAATCGGAATGGCGTTACATGCTATCTGGATGCCTTGCTCTTCGCAATGTTTGCACGTCTGGATTCATTTGAAGTTATCTTACATGGCTCGTACGATGATGAGCATGAGCCACAGCAAAATCTATCCATGCTTTTGCGGCTGTGGGTAAACTTGCTGCGGTCTGGGAAATTGATAACAAAGGACATTGTTAGTAGCCCGTTAACCTTTTGCCAATCCATGGGAACCTCTTGTGTTGTTACCAACAACATATTATCACTAACACTGAAAATGCCTGGCAGACAAAACAAGTCCAAGATGCATTAGCGCAATGTGGATGGCATGATGCGGCCCAATCGCAGCAACAAGACGTATCTGAAGCTTTCACATTTATCACAGAACAACTTAATCTTCCATTGCTCACGTTGAAAATGGACATTTTTCATACAGGGAAAGAAGAAGCAGGAAATGATCACAAGTACATAAATGAGCGACTACTACAGGTCGCAATTCCGACCGAGACAGCTGATAGCAAGTCAATAACTTTGGAAGACTGTCTTGAAGCATATTTCAACAACCAAATTGCTGTTAAAAGGTATCTGGATCGGAAATATACAGAAATGTCGGTGTACTCGACAGATTCAGTGACAAAGGACGGCTTGTCTTACATTGAAACAAGTGACCTGGAAACTTCGCCCACGTCCGATTCCCCAATTTCGAGGTCTTTCTCTGGATCCACGAAAGTGACCGATCCTCCTGTTTATATGTCACATACACCGTCACCAATACATTTGAAAGCACATACGCGCTCATCGAGCATCATAGTAAATCGATTCATCCCCGAAGACAATTCCAATGAAGGTGGGGACAACACCAATGCGGTAACTCCCAATAGGTTGCGGAGAGGGACCTTCCGCAAAGAGGTCCTGCTACCTGCTTGGCAGATGTTTAGTTTAATTCGTGAGTTACTTTCCGTGTAATTGTAGGAAACCCCACTGATCAAACCAAAAGCTTGGTACACGGACAGTGTGCGGTGCCACGATGCAGCATCAGCAGTTGATTTTTCTTCCAAAAGACCTATTCTCGGGATATGTTTAAAACGATACTCGGTGCTTCCTAATGGAAATACAGTTCGCCTAGACACCTTTGTTGATATCCCTATCGAAATTGGACTGCCATATTTCATACAAGATGATGAGATGGAAGATGGTGGTCCATTGTACAGGAATTTCAAACTTTCCCTTCAATCAGCCATTTGCCACCGTGGAAACTCCATTGAATCTGGTCACTATATAGCTTTGGCCAGAGGTACCCCTTCCGATAATCACGATGGTTCGATGTCCTGTCGTCACTGGATGCGATTCGACGATTTAACCGACGAAAGAATCACAATTGTCGATATAGAAAGTGCCATACGTGAAGAGTCTCCATATCTTCTATTCTACCGAATAGTTCCTATTGACAGTGATAGTGAGTCGGCCTCCCGTGCACGGCCGTCGAGTTCATATGGAGAGCCAGGAAGTTCTGCAAAGGTATCATCTAAATCAAGCCTGGAAGGAATAAACTCCATAACTTCTGTCGTTGACGGTGGTAGTGATGCAAAGTCAAATGGTGCAAGTCCGGAAACTAATCTCAATCAACGATCTGACGCGAATGCTCTGTCAGATCTCAATTCGACGAAGACTGTTCCCGAGAATGGGAAGGAAGCAGCTAGCGGTGGTGAAGAGGGCGTATGTAGTACGTCTTCTTGTAGAAGCCTACCTATCTTAAAAGATTCCAGCTCAGCAAGTCAGAACGAGCTAGAGCTGGGAAATAATGATGTTCCTCATTCTCATTCAACTTCCATGAATGGCACAATTATCACCGTTGAACCTATTCCGGATGGCGATTTCGAAATGAACGGGACCGATAGTTTCGATGGCGAGAAAAGAAAAAAGTCCAAACATGCGAAGGTATACAAGGAGAATACGCAAAAAGTGCCGAAGCACAAGAATCATCATTCTCTCAAAAAACGAGGTGGAAAGCTGGAGAGGGAGTGTATTGTTATTTAAAAAAATGGGGATGGTTCTATTTGGGATTTACATTTTTTCCTGTTTTGGGTATGATTGGTGAAATTCCCAAGTCACTTATTTATGGCCGCATGCTTATGGCAATGGTAATAATAATGACCCTCAATACACCGCCATCCATGCACCTCGTTATCTATCTGTCACAAACATTTTTTGGCGCTTCCCTCCATTTTCTTTCTGGCAGGTGCTTAACTATTCATTTGAGAATAGGATTGTCTCCAGTTCTACTGTATTAACTAATGATAACGTTTCTTGGGTTTCAATCTGTTTTTTCATTTCTTAAGCCATTCATTGATGGAGGGAAGATTTAATTGGGCATCTTTTCTCCATGTTTTGAAGCGAGCTATGACGATCAACCAAGCCCTTTTCTGACGCTTCAGCTCAATATGGTGGATCACGTATAATCACTCTGTCTGCCCACATCGCATTGATGTAATGATAGGCTACATGTATAAACAAACCCTAACATTAGTCCAACATCATTCAGACGAAGAGCTCTGCAGAACTCTAATTATTCTCCCGCTCCTATGTTGCTTATGTAATAGCTACTCATCCAATGACAGGAGCTCGGTCTTGGCATTTCCCCATGGCTTCCTTCGAACATCTCGATCTGAATACTTGATATCACACAGCCCACAAGTCGCAAAATCGCAATGTTAGAGCTTTGAATCTTAGCGCATAATGGCGCTGGATGTATCAAGTGGCTACGTAGCTGCCAGCAGCTTGGCCAAACTCACTGACACCTCTGCGCCCATCTTCAATGTTGAGCGGGTTCAGCTTAAGTTCTCCATAGCGTCGGACTTTGTTGCCGCGCAGGTTGCGAACAATGTTCTTATTCTTGCTCTAGCATCGAGGAGAATTTTGCGGATTGATCTCGATAATGCGGAGGATATCGATGGTAAGAACCATCCTTCCCTAGGTTGTGGCCTTTCTTTCCAAGATGCTCTCTTATTTGGTGGTTACTGGAGCTAACCATTACTTCCCCAACCCGAAAAATGCAGACGTTGATCTGCCCAGGAAGTCTTCGGTGACGGGTTTGATTCGCCGCATGTTCCTGGATCCTACCGCATCACATCTTATCATCACAACTACACATGGCGAGAATTATTACCTCCATAATCAGTCCAGACAGCCGAAAGCCCTTCCCCGCTTGAAAGGTGTTTCCATCGAGAGTATCGCATGGAATCCTTCCTTGCCAACGGCCTCAACTAGGGAGATTCTAGTAGGTGCATCAGATGGGAATGTCTATGAAGTCTATATCGAACCGCTATCGGAGTTCTACCGAAGGGACGAAAGATATGTTAATTCAGTGTATAAGATCCCGGGATCGAGTGTGACAGGTATTTGGGTGGGTTTGGTCCCTGGAAGCCCGGATTACCGATGTGTTATACTATCGTCCCATAGAAAGATATTATATTTCATGGGCCGTGTGGGAAAAAACGGAAAAGAAGGCGGCAGCTCGATATTTGCAGATCTGTTTCACAAGGAAACTCCCCTTGTGCATGAGGTCTCAAGCGCATCCCCATCAGCGCCTTCATTACTTGCTATGCAACCTGACCCTCCAGAGGATCACTATGGTGAAGGGGAAAGCACAGGAAAACAGTTTGCCTGGCTCACTTCTCAAGGGGTTTTCTACGGAACAGTTCCAACGACGCCGTCAACCCCAGAGCTGGGAGAGCGTATTTTCGACAAGGCCAAGTTACTCCCCAGATCTATTCTGCCAGGATCAGAGTCTGCCAGAGGCAGCCGAAAATTGATCCAAGACCCGATTAAAGGGATGACTTTGACTCAGTGGCATATTTTGACTCTGGTCGAAGGTCGCATCGTGGCAGCCAACAGGCTAAATGGGGAGATCGTATATGACCAGGCTGTTCTCGAGCGCGGCGAAAGTTCTCTTGGTCTGGTATCAGATCAGAAGAAAAATACACATTGGCTCTTTGTTGGCAAGGAAATTTACGAAATCGCAGCCAATGACGAAGACAGGGATGTATGGAAAATGTTTCTGAAGGAGCAGCAATTCGATGCCGCTCTGCGGTACGCCCGTGGCGCAGCCCAGAAAGATGCTGTGGCCACAGCATCCGGTGACTATCTTGCAAGTAAGGGCCAATATTTGGAGGCTGCCGCGGTATGGGGTAAAAGCAGCAAAAGTTTCGAGGAGGTCTGCCTGACCTTTATGAATAAAGGGGAACAAGATGCTCTGAGAAAATATCTTCTCACACAAATGTCAACCTACAAGAAGTCTGCAATAATGCAAAGGACGATTATTGCTAGTTGGCTCGTGGAAGTTTTCATGTCCAAGCTAAACTCACTCGATGACACCATTGCGACGAAAGCGGAGTTAGTGGAAGGGACAAATGCTGGGGAAACAAGAGATGCACTTAACAACGTACGGGCTGAGTTTCAGGACTTTGTTATGAAATATAAATCGGAGCTTGATCCGAAAACCGTCTATGACATCGTTGGCAGTCATGGAAGAGAGGAGGAACTGTTATATTTTGCAACAGCTATCAATGACTGCAATTTTGTCCTCTCATATTGGATCCAACGAGGAAAATGGAGTGAAGCTCTCAACGTCCTAAAAAAACAGACGAACCCGGATGTCTTCTACAAGTACAGCTCCGTACTCATGACACATGTGCCTCCTGATCTCGTCGATATACTGATGAGACAAATCGATCTCGACCCTCAAAAGCTTATTCCTGCCCTGTTGAGTTACAATAACACTACTAAGGTCCCGCTTAGTCAAAATCAAGCTATTCGTTATTTAAATTTTATCATTGCCAACCATCCAAACCCATCGGCAGCGGTGCACAACACATTCATTTCCATACATGCCTCCCACCCCTCTTCCTCGGAGGCTGCGCTACTATCATACCTCTCCTCTCAACCGTCATCCCCTCCCCCTTACGACGCTGACTTTGCCCTCCGTCTGTGCATCCAGCATAACCGCGTCCAGTCATGCGTCCACATCTACACGACTATGTGCCAGTATCTTCAAGCTGTGGAGCTTGCTCTAAAACACAACGACATAGAGCTCGCTGCATATGTTGCGGACCTCCCCAATGGAAATGACAAACTTCGCAAAAAGCTATGGCTCCTGGTAGCGGAGAAGAAGATCCGCCAACCAGGCACTGGAATCAAAGATGCAATTGAGTTTCTCCGTCGCTGCGAGCTTCTCCGGATAGAGGATCTTATCCCCTTTTTCCCGGATTTTGTTGTAGTTGACGATTTCAAGGATGAGATCTGTACTGCGTTAGAAGACTACTCGCGACATATCGACAGCTTGCGTCAGGAAATGGACAATTCTGCGCATACGGCTGAGCAAATACAAAATGAGATTGCGGCACTTGATTTACGATATGCTATTGTGGAACCGGGGGAGAAATGCTGGATATGTTCGTTACCGCTGCTTAGTCGCCAGTTTTTCGTGTTCCCTTGCCAGCATGCGTTCCATAGTGATTGCTTGGGAAAGAAGATACTTGAAGCAGCTGGGTCTGGCAAGAGGAAACGCATTAGGGATTTGCAGATTGAAATGAGCAAGGAAACGAACACTGGAGGGAAACGGGAGAAGGTTATACGTGACCTGGATGGGTTGATTGCTGAAGCTTGGTAAGCTAACTGTTTTATCACACCTTACTGTCGTTAGATTTCAATGTTTAAGAGAAACGCTGCTGACATACTTGTATTTAATCAGTATTCTTTGTGGTGAATATGCAATCAAGCAAGTTGATGAGCCATTCATCAGTGCTTCAGATAATAGGGACGAATGGGCGATATGATGTTTTAAGCTACCACATTCTGTTCAAGTTCTTAGGGGGTGTTTAACTAGCGATCCCTTTCAATTCCCTCACTGGCGTTCAACATAACTATATATGTCATATTCAGATTCTCAATATTTGGTGTATATACCTCAATTCCATCTTTAGACAATCATTCCAATATAACCTTCCCACCTATTAATACGCGCATATACTTTAACCCATATCATGCAAAGGTGCATTTTGACATGGGGTTATGCTAGACCACAATAGGAATAGTATCACCTCCATTCTTCCAGCTGCCAATGATGTCAATAAAATGGATACCATTTCTTAATCGCAACAACTGGGTTTACAAGTTTGAGGTCTGTGAAATACTGCTACGTAGGTGGCGCTGCCGCCAATTGCTGCTTGCTTTCCCAACAATTTAATGTCAGATCTTGGACATTAAATCTAAAATGAAAACAATCATCACACATTATATTGCCAGGTCGGGGGTTTTGGATATCCCGAACAGAACCACCAGCAATGGCTGAGAAGGACTCGACAACGAAGCACAGCCCTGTCCCTATTCACAAGAAATCAGAGGAGCAAGTCTCAACAGCTGGAGCTACTTCATCTGCCCAAATAGAGCAAGTCGAACATGAGTCGGCTGAGAAGGTGGCGCAGAAAGTGCTCCGGGAAACCCAGAGAGCGGATTCAGATCCTCAGGGGCGATCCCCGACAGGCACAAATGAATCTCTCGTGAAAGGGCTCTCAAACCCTGGACCTTTGGATGTTAATCAGGCGGTTCAACAATGTAGGTTCATGTAACCTATTGGATCTCGATCCATGGTCGAGACGGGTGGGAAATGAGATCTAAAATGTCGCAGCAAGTCTACAACGTCAAAGCCGTGCCCGCCCTTCCTCCAGGTGATTTCGACCTACATAGGGCCAAGGAGGAAGGTTTCTCGCCAGATACGCTCAAATCTGCCATTGAGCGGTTTTACGCAACGGTAGTAATTGGGCTCATTAACGCTTTCAAACATTTTGTTCGACTGCGTTCGTCGAAAGAGACTCGGCGAACAGCAGCGTTCTGTGTGGTAAGTAGTAAAATAAACATTAAACCCGGATAGTTAAAACGTTAAGAGTTGCCTTGCTAATTAATTCTCAAATCTCCTTCCAAGGTCTATTTTGCTGCTTGGGTCCTGGACCTCATAATACCAACAGCTCTCAGCACGCTGCTCTTGTTAATTTTTTTCCCTTCATCTCGAATCCTACTATTTCCTCCGGTACCAATAAGCCTAGTCAGTTGCGAAACTGGAGGTGCTCAACAACCGAAAGCCGGTGTAGTGGGATCAAAGGGCACCGTCACAGGCGCTCCCGAGAAGTTCAAGGGTGAAGCAGTCGAGCAGGAGGCCAGCAATTTGGTTTCAGGTGCCTCCCGTCTGGCTTTGGAATGCGCTGGTGGAAAATATGACGACGAAGCACAGGCAGACGACAAAAAGGAAACCTCATCTTTAGGAGATCCTGCGAACATCGTGTCTAAAATAGCAGATGCGGCAACGGCTTCCCGTGGCGGTACCCCCAGTGAGGAACATGACAAGACCAAGGAGCTTATGATGGAGATTATCCGGGAAAAGGGCAATACAGATAACGGTGTTGATTGATTGTTTTTCGGATGCATACGAAAGACTGAGCAAGTATGCCATTGTTCGCACAATTAGTTCCGAACAGGTGGAATGTTTCACTGACTTTCTGACTGGCAGTGCCCTTTCGCCAAAGCCCCCGTTCATATCGAGCTGGCCTCGAATACGAATAGCGCTTCTCTTAAGTTTTGCGACTGCAGTTATCCTGCTAACACCAAGTTATATATTCATCAAAACAGGCACGTATCTTGCGGGATTAGGTTTCTTTGGGGATCCGATTATCAGTAAAGCCACAGAACTATTGGATCGAAAGCCACGCAATCCGACGCAGGCAAAAGGAGAAGGAGGAAAGCAAGTTAGCAATCAATTTCCCTTCCAGAGTGAGAAGCACGGATGAGTCTCTAAGCCATCCTTATATAGTCTCATATTTAGAGGTGTACCAACAAACGCTCAACTTACCCTTACCATCTTTCGAATTGGAGAAGCGTGCGGCTATCCCGTCCCAGCTCCCCCCGTTTCTTTGAAATCAAAAACATCAGAGTCTGTTTCCATAGCAGAGGAAGAACTACCCCAGGAGTTCTTAGATGCTGACATCAACCCACAACCGCCAGAAGATTCCAGCGAAACCGGAGAGGAATCCCCAGCGAAGGCGGAGCGGGAAAAGAAATCCTGGGGTACTACGATTGCTAACTTCTTTAGAGGAGCCACCGCGGCCGGAGTTGAAACAAAGCTTGCTTATGATTACACCCAAAGCCGCTCTAGGGTCAATGGCTTCGAAGCAGTACCTTGGAATACTGCGCAAGAAACGCCAATCTTCACAGTCGACCTCACCCACGACATTTAGAGCAAGGTACAAGGGGCAGAAGGGAGGTATCATCATCGCGTCGCGTCCTTCAACGGAACCATTGATGCTTTATTTTACCACCGAACCTGGACAACAATCCAAGGACATTAGCATCGAAGAAGGGAAGAAGAAAGGGACTATCTTGTTTTCAATTTCAATTAACGAAATTCAAGTATTGAAGAAGATTAGCGCTTTGGGATGGACAGAGAAACTGCTTGTGGGATGGTCAGAGCCTAACAAAGAGGTGGTTGACGGTTTGGTGATCTTCGGGGAAGAACGCGGAGCAACAGTATCAAGTCACAGCGATCGGGCGAAGAGACTCTCTGTTTAACCGTCTCATTTCTATGAACGGAACATTTTGGGACATTTGTTGATCCAGGTGATAAAGAAGGGAGCAAGAATGTCATTATTTTTCTTTCCGGATTCCAGCAGACAGCAGGATCCGATTGTCCCCCGGACAACAGCGTAGCCCCATTGCAAAAATTTTGGATAATATTCCTCTGCTTCTCGACCAATGTTGGAGACACCTTCAATTCCCCTTTGGTGCAGAAGAATAGTCACCAGATCCCGTTCGTTAATCTTGGGCAACTGCAATAAGCCAAAGTAAGTGGGATTGCCAGTCCATTGGCAATCAGAGTTGTTGGATTTTAGCTATAAGCTTATTAGCAAATCGTCAACAATCAGGTAAGTGTCATCTTTTTAGAGTTACCCGTGTGGACATTGCGTGTAGTTTTCAATAACCGAATCCTCAATTTAATCTTCGGAGTGGAGAGTATCTGTCAAAAATTCATCTACGCAGTGCGCACGAGAAGAAAAGTCACATGATCTAAATTTCTATAATCACGTTACCCGAGTTAGGCATCCCATGAACATGCACATTGTTGATTATTTCCTATGAAGTATGTTCTTCGGTGTATCATGTTCAGCATATTTACATATGCTCATGTCCATCCTTCGATTTATCCTGTATTTCTCAATGCTCAAAGCGTTAACCTTCGAAATCCCCGCATACGGATGCGACAAATGATCGCAGATTGTGCATATATATTGACACCAAAAAAGAAGAAAGAAAAAAAGTGTGGATATACCTAGGGCATTCATCCAGCCCTGATCGCTGTTATCCAGGATGTCCCGATTTTCAGCTGATATACATCCCTTGCATTAATCATACATCTGCATTGACACCAGCGCATCCCCAAGTCTCGGTTTTGCATTCAAGCTTTAGCTTGAATTGTAAGGGAGAATCACCATCTCTTACTCTTAACCTTCAATCCCACTGTGGCTGGCGTGGACTTCTCTGCTGGTGAGGGCGGGAAGATAGATACATCTGACTGTGATCCACCCAGGTTGAATGTAAAACAGACCGGCCGGAGCAACTACAAAGCGCCAGGCCTAACTTACTTTCACGGTAGGAACAGCAAACCCAGTTAGTTCTTGTAAGGACTACATTTCACATCATCAGTGTCGATGATTTGCCTGATAGAAGGTGGCGTAATTGACGACTGATTGAGAATTTTCGAGAGTCACTTGCAACCTAATGGCTTGCGTGTGGGCTTGCTAAGGGCTTGTGTTGAGGCCGTGTGTACCATTTTAGCTCCAGGGTGAAGATTGCCTGGGCTCTTGGGCAAGGTCGTTGACGGTTCGTTCCCTCGATGATACAGACACAGTGCGGACCCATTAGGGATGCAAGTGCCACTACAAATACTCCAGGGTGATGTTGTCCTTTCTGATGAATAAGGGCAGCCCTCAGTTTACAGGGTTGGGCACAATTTCACCCTCCAGACCAACAAGATGGAGATGCATCGTTAACTTTATGAGCTGAGTGTGAGCTCTGCAGCCCATTTATCCTAAGCTTCGATCACCAACCTTATGTTGTCACTACTCTTCACCAAATTCAGTTCACGCATATACGAAAAAGCACTCCACAGGTGCATTGCAACTCTTAAGTTCCAAGTAGCGTGAGACTAAAAGGGACAGTGCTCTTTGCAGTAAAAAACGCTTGTGTGGAGCAAGGGAACTTCCCGAGCGGGTATCAGACGATTCTGTTACTGTGACCTTCTGCCCTGCTTGTCGTTTGAAATCCAAAAGACGGCGATTTAGCCATGCACTCATATTGAACACATGGGACCATCATAACAAACCATCCGTTTGATTATCACTCAGCAGAACCACTAGCAGTTGTTATATCAGACAACGCGGCACGTTCTGCCTTTGTACGGAAAATACCAAATGGAAGCAACCTCATCACTCCATGGCGATGGTGCCTAAAGGCCGTAACTACACAGCACTCTCTAATCATGAGTTTATCAGACCGACAGACATGCGAAAGAAGATCTAGAACCGTTAGAGGCCAATAATCTCCGTAGCTCGCCTAGTCTTGTCCCAAAACTTCCTCAGCCCCAGTTCGTACTTGCTAACATGGTGTGTGGGCATTAATATGATGGATGATAAGCTTGATTTGTCGATTCCAGAGCAAGGGCGACATTCATTGATATATATCTCAACTCAAAAACTGGAGCGAGGGTGGCACCACTCCTGATCGTGGTGATGCAATCTCGAAGTATATAATGAATGGGTCAAGATGTTGTCATCATTAATGGTAGTTTCCTTGAGCTTCCCTTCTCGGGTATGGAATTGGGGATCCTTGGGAACTGATCAGACAACCGACACAATGGATTGATTTGAAGAACGATAAAAACAAACTTGAAAATATTCACAATAGCTGGGGGAAAAGAACTTCCTGTCAACAAAGTCTGTCTTATTGAATACTGATCGACCCCATGATCAAACGGTCGGTCCTCTTTGAGTTTCTGCTGTTTTTAAAGTCTCGTTGCTGGGAACCTTGAAGAAATCCTGATTTGAACCTTTCTTTTCACCAATCCATGCTAGATCTTCTTCCCGCCAAAACGACTAGAATAATAATTTAAGCATCTCTAAAGCTGCTTTCTTTTTTTTTTTTTTTTTTTACTTTTCCAAATCATGGGGATAATCCTTCACGTCCCCAGCTTGGAAGTCCCTGAGGAGGGAGAGGGTTGGGAAGTGGTCGTGTGAGGCGCCACTGACGAGAGTTAGTTATATTGACACTCGAATTTTTGTGTCATCATGATCTTCATCGATTCATACTCAGCCATCTATCTTGCTGGTCAATCGAATGAATAATATTCACTATTATTCTTAATTTTATTGAAGCCGTGGATTTGGAACTTTGACCTGACAGACCAGTAATTCGTGGCAAGGCAGGCATTATTATTTCCCGGTCCGCCTCCGTGTTCGTGGTGTGCATGCAAGGACATAACAGCAACCAGGCATAAGGCACATCCGCCTGTTAACTATGTGTTCCCACCCCCCCCCCAGAAGGAAATAAAAATGCGCTTTCAAACTTGTCAACCAATGGGTGTTGTGGCCCTTGAGCCATGGGGACATGATTTGGAGAAAGAAGCTGTATTTCTGCCCAATGATATGACAACAATCGAAGCATTTTTTCGATCCCCAATCGAAACACAAACGTTGACAGGTCCAGCTCCTCTGGAGGCATGAAGGATGTGCATAAAACAGTGCAGGTTGCAACTTGCAAGTCGCATATGCATATGCAAAGTATCACCAAGCTCAAGTCTCTAGCGCATGTTGAAGGCTGTTCGTTGGTCCGTCTGTCCTGCTTTTCACGCGAGTCGCAACGTTCGCACGGAGTTTGTTCTCTTATTTTTCTGTGCTATGCTGTGCTATGAAATGTGCCGCGTAGTGCTGCAGAGACCAGGATTTGATTTGTGCGAAAGATGTTGGATATTCTGTGTCCCGATTTGTTTTTAACACACCTGTACCCCTTCACATTGCCCAACATGTTCAACGAGTTTTGCGTAAGTGTGCGTACCGGCATAAATAGAACATCTACACGTGATTGATCGAAGTTGTTGATCCCATACAGCAGATATATACATACCAGGTACTCAGCGGCTGTTGTATTCCAAAAATGAAATATGAAGATTGAAAGAAATAGGAACGCGATGCTTCATCCCAGCCCCGAAGCGTCACTAAATTACATCGGTCTTGGCAGCTGATAGTTAACCATATCGCAAGATTTGGAGAAGGCCTTTTGGGCGTCCGCATGAGGTCCGCATGGGGTTCCCATGAGCTCAATGCTCAACGCATCATGTTTAAGCGTACTCCGTTCCTAGACGGTTATAGTTATCACAGACCCCCGGTTAGCATATTTCTCACGGCTGATTCTATTTTTCCCAAGTCCACTGGAAGTTTCACACAAGCAGCGATATCCAATAACTAATTGATCATCTCCCTCTCACGACCCATGAAGGATGCTCGCGGGCCACACGTCCCCAACGACTTTGTGCAGAAGCAGAATTCCAGCAAGTCAAAGCTTCGAGGATCATGCGTCTTGCACAGTTAAAACCACAACTAATTCGCACTTACTATATAGTTCTCCTGATCAACGGGTTAGTTGATCGGTCGACTTGGCTTTGAAACAAAAAAGCGGTCAATAATACAAGAAGAGCAACGCAAGATAATTTACACCAACGTCAGCTTCAAGGAAGAATTCAACAACAACAACAACAACAACAACAACAGCAGGAATGATTCTCTTGGAGCCCATAAGATATGTGGATGTAAAACTTGATTTTCCACCGTCCAACAAAAAGGGCGGTGCTATATCAAGGAATGCACTGAAACAGTCCCCCCGGATCCCCGAAACAACCTAGAAAACTGAAATCCAAGTCTGCCGCTTGAAACAGCTCACCGAGGCATTAAATGTCTTAGGGCATTTAATGAGCCATTGGCCTTCCTGGTTAGAAATAAAAAGCACATTTTCGTTGCAAGGTACAACTTGGAAGTGTATTAATTGACACATGTTGATACACATTAAGATGTAACGAAGGCCAGCATTGCGTCCAACCTGTAAGGTAAAGTGAACGGTAACTGGTTGCACAAGGACGCAAATATTTTTCTTCCCCCTTCGCACAACACTAATTAATTTGCTTATTAGATTCAGGATTGCATCTACAGTCATAGGGTGGTAGGGGGGGGGAAGACAGCCAAATCTTGCACAGTCCTTTTCTAACCAACTCCAGCGGCTAGAATATTTATATCAGCTCAAATTGTCGCGTGTGACATGGCTAGGGAGCACACCAGCAGGAGCACCAGCTGCATGCCATTGTAGACCCTGCTGCCTATTTTGCAGACGGTGGTGTGTACATCCGTCTAGGCCCTGTCGGCTCTGTTCTTGTGGGAAAACCAACTGTTATATAAAAAGAATTCTCCATGGGTTCGGTTGGAGGATCCATATCTCTTCCCCTTTAGAGCTTCTCCGTGACATCAGACGGCATTTGCGGAGCGTACAAGATGATCCAAGCATATAACTGAAGACCTCGCCCAGGATTAAAAGAGTAGAAAGAACCTTTTTTAAAAGTGGGGTTTCATGGAACTCAGTCCCAATTCAGCATTGTTGTAGTGATACTTGCATGTTTCTATTTGTTGACGTCGGAGCCATGCTATGGCCTGGCAGGTAGTTAACTAACGATGTCTCTGATCATAAAGTATATTATAGCATACTTGCTCACGTTATCTGTATCATTCAAACCATTAAATAAGCTTACGTCGAAGAATAACTATATTTGGACCAAAAAAGCATCCCAAAAGCCTTTCAAAGAGCAAATATAGAACATTAGATTTGATAACTAACTAGTTGGGGCGCGATAGCAGCAAGGACCTTTTAGTCAACGGAACGAAATTCCCAACCGCTAGTTATGCATAGTGAACTTATCAATCTACTTTTTAAAGTGTCAGAATACCATTAACTCACAATAAAAATAAAAATAAACTATATAAAAGAGGACAGAATTTGAATTTATAATTATTTTCTTGGAAAATACAGAAACTACCTGTATTCATAATGCTGTAAAGTTACATAATGATTTTAGTTATACTTTAGTTAACAAGTTTACTCTTATCTATTAATAAGTGATTGCTTTTCATAACTAGAATCTTATATACAAATTCACATTAATCCATTGCAACTGAAGAGAAATACTATTTAGCAAGTACTAAATTTGACTGAGTAAAAATTATTCATTAAATCTGCTTTATAAAGTGTAGTATATTATCTTCTACTATATGAGATTCTAAATTCTCTTTCTCTTATACTAAAGCTTTAAACTTAGTAAAACACTATATAGAGCTTTAAAGTCAATTCTTATAATATGATAGTTATAATTAAGTAAAATACAAAATATAGTTGATATAATTAAATTTATATTAAATTTATATTAAAATATAATTAATTCATAGAAATATGATTCATAAGTAAAAACTGCTAAGAAAAATAAATGAAAAAAAAGTAAATATATAAAATAGAATATTTTGAGAAATATACAAAACTTGAAATAAAGAAATAAAGAATAAAATGTAAAATAAAGTTAAAATAAAAGTCTTAATATAAAGCATATAAAAGCTAGATATAATCTTTATAATTACTTAATTTGCTTTTTAATAATGTTTAATAATAACTAGTAAAACTGATTGAAGTTAGATAACTAACTTAATAATAAATATATATTTATCTTAAATAAAAAGAAAAAATATACAAAATTAAACTTTATTATTTTTTACAATCTCTTTGTTTAAAAGTGGTATTAACTATATTATATTAATTCAAATCTTTATGCTACAACCATAATTATAGAACTTTATAAAAATATAATAAATGTAAAGCTATTGAATATATATCAAAAAAGAATAATTTAGTTTTAGTATAGTTTATTTTTTTTTTTAAACAAATTCTTTTTATATTGTTGTTGATAAATTCCAATTAAATTTAATACTAGAGATAAAATGAATATTGTGTCTTACTCAGATTAAGGTTCCCCCTCCACTTGATTGGGAACTGGTTAATTAGCTTTATTTATTATCAGTTTAACTACTCCAGGTACCAGTTGAATGAGTACCCTGGCTCTGACGAAGTAAACTCTAAACCTCGGCACATCTTTCCTTGCAAGTCAAGACTAGCCAAACTGCAAAGATAACTTGGCCGCAAAAGTCTGGAGTGGACATAAAAGGGCAACTGACAGTTTCACTGTTCATTCACTGGTCACCTGCCGAAACTGGCAGAGCATGTAAAGAACACGTAAACATCATATCATTATTATTGAACACGTTATGTGTTGTGAAAGCTGCTGAGCAATCTATCCTTTGTTTTCTATGGAGAGGTTTCGGGATGTTGGACCGTGGCTACGTGGACGGGAAAGTGGGGAATGTGATGTAGTGGAGATAGCTAGTTATCTCCAGACGGTTTATCACTCTTACCCTTCCTTATCAGCCCGAAAACCGTAAGACGTGGAGAGCTACACAGTGGTCAAATGGAGGTTGTCAGGAACTCGACCCACAATGAAATTTGAGTAATTTATGTATGACCTTTTATCGGGCGGGCGGGTTGAGCTCAAATGATAAATAACAGTTGGTTTGTTTCAGTGTCGATAGACCAGAGCTGGTGAGAAGGAAGGGATGGTAAGAATGTTGTCTAGTGTTTCGGAGGTTTTCTCAATACTTGGTGCCATCTTAATCACTTGATCTTCGTCGCAGATACAGGACGGATCCATAGATAGCTAGGATATGCCAATATGAATTCCCAACCAGCACGCAAAGTGACAGATATAGTACCTATGGATCTGCAGGCGTATCCCTATAGTATATGACGATTGTCGATAACTCTCTATCCATGGGATCTCTCATGCAGCACATCAATCTTCGAACCTTCTTTTTTTTTATCAAGGACAGTTTGGAGCTCCAGTGGGTGGCTTTCCCAGCTCACTGAAACCGAGTTTTTAAACAATATCTAAACTAACTATGGTCCGAGTCCGGGAGCATCTTTCAAGAGTTCCACGGTTTTGTGCGGGGCACATCGAGGAAAAATGATGTGAATACATCCTCGGAAATCATTCTCCGCGAAACTAAGTGTCTGCTCCTGCACTCGTGATATCCCGATTGAACTAGTAATTAGCTAGCCATGTGTAGAAATTAATTGGATCCATGGATGGATGTGAACAATGTCGGGTGAGAGATCAGCTCTTTGTCCGAAATTCAACTCCAAAATCCCAGGCGTCAAAGGTGCGGATCAACATATGAGAGATACGGGGAATGTCATTTTAGACCCTGGGAGGTTGAACCAATAGTTAATAGGGCAAAGGCAAGAGACGCTTAGAACGGGAAATGGGATCTTGGGCTGTGAACCACTGCTAAAAAAAAAAAACCTGCAAGTTGTGAGGATTCATAGAACATCCATAGTTCAAGGAGAATAGAGAACTAATGATAGACACTCATAAACAGTTAAGATAAATATAGAGAGAGGGTAGGCGAATCCTCAAATGACTAGGCGAATGGTAATTGCTCAACCGCGGCAAGGTGACCTCAGGAGGGCCTTGGGAGCACTTCGAAATAGCTTAAATACGGTTTTCGAGAGCAGTGGTGACAGCTCTAAAGAAAGTGTGGTTAGTGTAGAACTCTGCCTCAGATTGAACTAAAAAGACACATACTCGAAGAAACACTTTACTGTTCACTCTACTATTTGTTCAATTTCTCAACGTATTGACCTAGTATTCGGTGACTTGTCAAACAAATAGAACACTAGGCCTGGTTTCAATTGAAAAGGTCGAGCCATGTTAAAACCATCAACACCATGACAAGCGCAAGAAAGAGATCGAAACTCTTCATTCGCCGTTGCAGCATGATGGTGTATCTCATTTCACAATCGGCAAGACTTGAGACAGTTAATTTTTACCCATTCTCAACTAGGTAGTTCAGTCCAAACGTATGATTTCACGTTTCGGAAGTTAAGCAAGCAACTTAGGACGGGTGGCATGAGACAAAAATGATGGTTGGTGATCTCTGTTGGGGAATTTATGGCATTAGATCCACTTCCTCCGTCTTGCGTCGTCCACGTAGCCGATCAACGCCCAAGGTAACGCACACGGGGGACAGGAAGAGGGGCGGGTTGTTTGGTATCAAGATGTCAAGATGCTGAATTCTGCAACTGGCGTCTCAGGCGCAGCTTTTGCATGCGTAGGCCAAACTAACCACTGCGCCCCCAAGCGGATAGTTTCATGAAAGATGGTACCTGGGCAAGTACTATTGGAGGAAAGGGACCTTGGGAATTGCTGTGAGGAGCAAAGCGCCAGATGAAACTTGCCAATCAGATGGAGATGTAGTTTTAGCTGGGTTGAAAAGTGAGGGTAGAAGTCGTTGTTGTCGTCAAAGAGTAACTTGACAGAGCAACCAGCGAGTAGGAAGCAGCAAGCAACAGGAAGTTGATGGACGTGGTTAGTTATCAGTTATCCTCGCCCTAATCTCATCATTCCTTCAAGGTCCAGCATACTGCGTAAAGAACTGTGCACACATGAGTTTCTTTGATGGCAGCTTGTCTTCCCTCAACGAACCGCCCGAAGATTATGGACACAGGGCCTGACGCTTTCCGGCCAGGCGGATGTTTATGCTCACAAATTACCCCACTTCTCCGCATGTCAACAACTAATTTCCTTGATACCTCGAGTGAACGAGTTTGACGTAAGTTTAGCCTGAGAATTCGACCGCGAGAAAGTCCTACCACCGTCAGTCATCTATTTGGGTTGAACTTTTGATGCAGAGCCAAAGAGCAGCTGGAGCTTCGCTTCCATTGATATGATTATCAGGGTTCTGGTGGAACCTCTTGCAAGCTTGTCCAACCACTCATCAAACAACGCACTCCCCCCTACCTCCCTACCCCCCTCTACCTCCCTACCCCCCTCTACCTCCCTACCCCCCTCTACCTCCCTACCCCCCCCGGGGCGCAGAGTCCTCTCCCATGGACGGCTTTTCTACTGTATCTCCCTCATTTAGCGCTGGCGTCATAAACCTAAATTAGCACAGCAAGTTCCCCCAGGACCATTCCACAGACCAATGAAACTAGCCCAACCAATGGCTTCTCCATTTTGCTGGCCCCAACCAATGGTTTGATGAACTCTGTGCTGCAGGGTATTGACTATCCGAGCTAGTCTCAAGCGGGCGATGGCAGCCTGCACCCTGGACAGTTGTAGTAGAACTCAATGGAACTTGACTTACGGCGTGGAAGCCGCCCGGTGGAAAAGGAAAGCGGTAGAATCCAAACGCGAGCAGCTCTAGCGCTGTTAAAAGGGTTGAAAAGGTGTTAACAACCCGGCAGGTTCGCAGCATGAGGCGGCTTTGTCCCGACTTTCCCTCCTTCATATAAAATACAATGCGCTAGCATCCGGCCCCAGCTGGCCCAGCTAATGCAACGAATGCGTTATTACTACATATGTACATTGTATCATTATTACGGGCATGCTTGCAGCCCCACACACAGATCCACTAATGCCAGTTGCACTGTAGTCCTCAAGTAGGGGCCAGACCTGCTCAACAAACCAACCCCCCCCCCCCCTTTTTGCTAGAGACACACATGGACAGACCAATTTTAGGTATATAGGATTCGCAGGGGCTAGCGAGATATGACTGGGATATCTGCTGCTGTTATTATTTAGTTGCTGCTGTTTGTGTTAGGGGGGTAAGCGATTCACTAGGCTTCTGTGCCAGGTCATAACAACAAACATATGAAACCATAATAGAAACTGTGGATATTGAACTTGAAGTAAATATAAATCATAGTAACATTATGCTGCTGCTGCTGCTGCCACCACTGCATAATCGGAATGTAACCACGCCCACACCACCTTCTGGGGCCATAGGTGTCTGAGTAACTTTTCGTAGTCTTGTTATTGCCAAAGCCCTAAATGCACGTTCCAGAAACCGGATGCCCCAATCCATGGGCGTGTCAATTGTGTCATATCTGTGGTGTCTGGTTGCTCCGGAGAGCGTGCGTCGGCTTGGGGTGGCGGGCTTAGACTTAGTTCCACGCGCCCCTTGGCTATTCGACCACATTCTGCAGGCTTCTGCTGCCGTTGTGTCAGCAGGTACATAACGTTCTCTTTGGGGGTACCTGATGGGAACCGCCACTGGCTGCGCTTCCACATCGCCGTGACTGGTTAGCCGAAGTACTGCCCAGGTACCCAACCCGAACACACCGCCCAACGAGTCAAGCGGTTAGTCACCTCAACCTCAGACTTATCTCCTTCCCCGGATCCTCAGCGTCATCCCCCGTCATCCCCTTCTACTCTTCTACTTCTGCGTCTCCTACTTCTCCCTCCTTCATTCACCTTTCTCCTTCTTCCCTTCTTACGCTCCATCTCATCCCCATCACTCATCCGCAACATCCTCATTTTCCTTGTCTTCTACCTCAAGCCTTTCTCTTCACCTTCCTCTTCACTCCCTCTACTCTCCCTCTTCTTCTTCCCCTCTCTCCCTATCGTATTTTCCCCGAACCACCTCGCTCTCCTCCCCCTCCCGATCCGCCTCGTCCGCTCATCAAACCCATGTTCCAACTTGGAGGATCCGGCATAAGAGTGCACTAGTTCAGCAACGACTAATCAACTGTTCTCAACGGTTTATTATTCCCTGATTCCCCTTCGTTATAGAGTGCATGGCTCTACTCCGTCCTCTCCTCATCTGCCGAAGCACGTAGCGTCTCCCAACGGCCTGATACCCAGCTCTGTTTACCCCTTTGTTCTTCGTCAACCGTTTTACCAGCAAAGGCCTGTGAATTGTTTACTTTCTGCTTTCGGTCGGTTGAGCCTTCGAACCATTGAGTAAACCGACAATCAGTCAAGAATCTCGTTGCTTGGCAACACAAGCTGGCAACAACAGCAAAACAATACCCCAACTTTGACTCCGTGCTTCGTATCGAGTCATCGAACCAGCACCTCCACCCATCATCAGATGTTATCCGTTCGACAAGTCTATCGATAACAGACCTTCGAGTCATCAGTGACAGTTTGCTACACAGGTATTTTGAACACACAATTCACTCTGAATGGTATATGACGTTTGAATCTCCGTGTTGTCTAAAGCTTAGGCCAATATTGCCTGTGTCACCCTCTGGATCTGTTACTCATCGTCCTCTGTTGTGGTTGTTGTATGGGCTCTTTGTCCTCGATAAAGACGTCTATTTCAACAGCAACATTTTTTTTGCCCCATGAACCTTCTGGCCAGGTGTTTGGAGGTTCTCTAAATCCCATGCGCCCTTCTAATTTCCAATTTCCTTCACGACTTTGTTACGCAGCGATTTAATTTCAGACTCTCCTCTTATCTCCTTGACCGTCGGACTTCCAACCGTCGACTCTCTTCTTCTCCTTACTCCCTTTTTCCTTTTTCGAGCAACCAGCTTTTGATGACACCCCACCGATGCTATCCTAACGGTCTCTACCTATTTCTTACTCTCTTTACGCTTTACGGCGGTACCGTAAACAACCCACTATCCCAAGTCGTGGACGACAATATTTCTTTTGTATTCACCACCGATCTCGAACACCTTGTATGAGCCTCTGATTCCAAATTACGGTGTCTTCCTCTCGTCCTTTCCTTTTTTTTTTCTTTTGTCTTTCTGCCTCGGGTGGTTTTTCCCCTTTCTCCATCTTGTGGAGGGGACTTATATACTCTTTTCTCTGTACAGCTATTTTGACCTGTCTATATATATCGTATATCTGCTGCCCTTTTTTTTCTCTTCGATTTCTTGTTAGCCGCTCATACTCTCGTGTTTCGTGGGCATTCAGTTCTCCGTAGACAACATGGAATGCTTGAGGGATAACTTCACCCCAGGGGAGATCTTGGACAATCGTTTCCGGACTGTCGCTCCTCTAAACCATGGCTCGTTTGGAATGGTATTCCTGGCAGATGACACCTTAACTGGAGACCAGGTCGCTATCAAGTGCTTGAGCAAGACGTCAGGAGACTCTACACCTCTGGCCGTTGACGAACGATCCGAAGAGCTAGAATGCCATACGCGCTTGGGATACCATCCAAATATTGTCAACCTACTCCACTCTTTTGAGACGGAATCCCATGTGTTTTTGGTGCTTGAATATTGTTCGATGGGTGACCTGTACGAAGCCATCAGGAACAATCGTGGACCTTTGGAAACTGAACATGTTCGTGAATTGATGCTACAACTCGTTAGCGCTGTCGAGTATATGCATTCAAAGGGCCTCTACCACCGGGACATCAAGCCTGAAAATATCTTCCTTTCCCAGAACGGCACAATGAAACTTGGAGATTTCGGTTTGGCTACACGCAGCCCCTGGTCCTACGAGGCATGTGTTGGTAGTGACCGCTACATGGCACCCGAGCAATATGAACCCACCCCAAGTGGCTACTCGACGAGGCAAGCCGATATCTGGTCTGTTGGCATATGTCTTCTGAATATATTGTTTGCGAAGAACCCTTTCGTGACTCCAACGGAGTCTGATATCTTCTTCGCCGACTATACCAGGGACCGCCAGTCGCTCTTTGACATTTTCCACAACATGTCTCAAGACACCTTTGAGATACTTTCTAATGCCATAGCACTCGACCCGAATAAACGCTCCCTCTCCGGGATTCGCCAAGCTATCTTACGCGCTGTTTGCTTCACCACTGACGATGAAGTCCTTGATGATTTTTGCACCGAAGATCGCGAGATTATTACTGCGAATGCTGATAGAGAGCCACTTCGAACGCCGTCCATTTCGAGCCCTCAGATCAATCAAGGAGACACATTCCCCTGGGCCAAAGCGCTTCAGTCAACACCTCAGCAAAAGCGACAACTCTCTATCATCCCAGACACAGAAAGTTATTGTGAAGACTTGTTCCCCGCTTCTGAAACAGAAGCCGCATCATGGTATTCCGTCCATGCAGGCTCCCCCTCAGTGGTTTCTGCACTGGGTTCCACCTTTAGTGCCTCGTTCAAATCTATGGCTGTTCAACCCTTTGAACAACGTTTCCATGGTCGCTCATATCCTGTCTCGATTGCTTGCTCTCTGCCCGTTCGTGCTGGAAAACCAATTCCTGCCATGTCTTTAGTTTTTGAGAAGGGTAACAATGAAATGTCGAAGAGCTGGAGTGATCTATACGATGAGGAACAGTCAGAGATTGAAGCTCTAGAGCGGCGGATGAAACAAAACGCTCGAAGCTTCAGCCGAGATAGCGACACGACCAAGAAAGGAAATCGCCCTTCCCGTCTTTCGGAGGTGCAAGGTTCCTCGTTCATAAATGCTCGATCGTCTCTTCCCAAAGCTCATCAGAAGGGTGTTGCTATCCCAACCCCTCGCAAGGCCAACGAGAATCTCAGAGAGAACAATATCCTAGGTCCAGTGCACCCATCCAAGCAATCCCCAACCAAACAAACAATTATGGACAAGTGGGCCGCCCTCGGAAACAAACGACGTGGCTACCACCGTAAACAGGATAATTCGTTGCCCAGCAGGAAGCAAAAATGCATGTCAAAGAGCTGGCGTAAGGATTTAGTCTCGAGTTCAACAGTTTTCGACGACCGCCATGTTGACCAGCATTTTCTTGACATTGACTGGCGTCAAAGCACAATCGAGCCTACGCAACCACAGGCAAATGTGGGTTTGGTTGGAACTGGCGATGGCACTGATGACCTTGATTTTGTTGGTGGCTGGAACGACTTTCAGCTGTGATTCATACAACTCATCATTCCACCCCTTATTTCTTTTTTCTTCCATTAATACCTTTTATACCACCTCTGTTCTTCGGACTACCTGTTGTTGTTGTTGCTGTTGTCTGTCTGCTGCTGCTGCCATTTGTCTAATAATCCCCTATTTGACCTCACTCAACTATCATACATTTACTACGACTAACCACCACCACCACCCCCACCATTTCCTCTCTGCTCTTTATATTACGCATGCTTCCGCTTGCTTATGTATGATATCTCACATCACCCTTCTCCCTCCCCTTAAGACAAGGATGTCCTAACAAGATCATCTTCTGTTTGTACTATAAACACTTTTAACATCCTTACCGGTATACATTGAATTGGCATGGCGGATTCCAGAAATGGTGTTGCGGTTAGGGAGGTATATGGTCATTTGGTTACCCCTGGAGAGGCGTTTGAGTCCTTCTGTTGTTTCTCTACAATTGACCTGTTTTGAGGGTGTATCAATATCGCTTATGTGTAACTTTTCATATCCAGCCCTTTTGTTCACTTTTACTTTCATATTATGGAATCATTTATTCATTGGCAATTCACAGCAGCAGACAGCACAGCTTTATCAGCTAACAGCAGAAAGGGGGCAGTGTGGAAAGGATATTTTACCTGGAACGAAACGCTCGTGGCAGTTAAAATTTAAACATGCGATTCTTATTGTCAGCCACTTTAACAATATTCTGAAAAGTGGAAGGGATTAATTGACTAGTGAAAGGGGACAGGGTCTATCAGGGAGTAATATGTTTGCCTTTTTTACCTGTTTTCCCCCCCCTCCTTTCTTTCTATCTCTTTGTTATCTATCCCCTTTTCCGTCTTGTGTTTCTTCTCATACCCCGAAAGAAAGAAGGTCAAAATTTAAAATCGTTCTCCCTCTCTGTGTGTTGCTATACCACTCATACACACAGCAAAATGGGGGCAGAGGGATTATACTCCTTTGTACTCTAAGCTATAACCTTTCGATTTGGTGGTGGGATATCTTTTTATTTTATTCCTTAAAGCCGCCAGAAGAGGATGAAAAGAAGAAAAAAGAGAGAAGGAAAAATGAAATTGAATCTGTTCTACAGCAACGGCGGGAGAGCTACGAAACCATAAAAGAGGGAAACTGGTGGTGACAAGGAGGGAAAGGGAGTAAAAGGAAAAGACCCCAAATTAGTTACTTAGCTTGGAGAATATGTGAGGAATAACTACAGATTAATCAAATAAATATATATAAATTAATTTCCATGACAAAAACCGAGTCTCGTTCATCTTTCTTACCTCTGGAAAATCCTTTGGTCTTATTATGTTTTGCAAGACAGTCCTCCCGATTCTGTGGGTGGGTACTCTATGAGAGCTATGCATACTGTACTCGTCACCTTTATCTCCTTCCCAGGGTGAGAGGGGAGGGAGTAAAAGGATACATCGACCTGAAGTTTCCGCGAAAACATCCGCGGTCGTGGATATAAAAAGGCTTGACGTGGAAAGACCGTAGATATAACTAATGTTTGATCGTTTGAACTTTACAGAAAACTACAAGCAGAGCCGAGCTAATGTCAATTTTACTCATTCGTGACAGCAAGAAATCAATAAGCTTAATATTATTAGTTTTATCACTAGAAAACTCCTGGCCAGCGACAAGTGATGCACCAATATCTCACACAAGAGACGGTTCACTGGTTTATCTTCGGCCGCCAGGACCTGGCTGAGCTGGGCTCAAGAAACCATCCAATCTTCACTGTGATACAGCCGGGCGGCTTTGGCGGTAAATAACTAGTTACATAGGTAACATCGGATGGGGGGAGATTAGGTGCAAAGAAAGAAGTTCGTTTGAGCGTGTGACTTGCTTTTGCTATATGCATTGGGGGGATCGCTAATGGGGATGGAACTCGAGACTCAAACTTTCTTCAGTTGGGATCCAAGTGTTAATTCTAATTAACTTCTTCTTGAAGGGCCGTGTGATCTTGATTTCGAATCCGCTAATTTATTAATCTGGGCCCCTGGACCCTTCATTTTGGAAATTAACCGAGGTGGATTGCGGGGGAGGAGGCCGATGGGAGGTCAAAACTCCCCAGCCTCCATCCATCCCCTTTTTTTGCTAGGCCTGTAAATCCCCGCTTGTTGGATCAACTAAATATTACGGAACGAGTGTCGGTGGCTCCCTTGAATGTGCCGTGGGCTTTTGGACAAAGAAATGCTCTGTACAATAGTGCAGGTTAGAAGGAGTATGATCTCATAGTTCGTAGTTCGGCTTTGAGTCAATCAGAGTATTCAAGATATGTAAGTTTTTGTTTGTCTTGAATCAAAGTCTCAATGAAATATAAGTTCTCGGAATATCAATTTATAAAGTCTCAATTTATAATCTTCTATTGTGCATTAATATATATTTTATATTGAGATCTATAGGTGCGAAGAAGAAGTATATATTTACAACTGCAGCTCTGTCAACATTGTCTGAAATCAAATTACATATGTCTTATCAGATGCTTGTTGTTCTGCATTATCATTCTTAGTGTCAATCTGACAATCATAACAGTCTCCAACGAATAAGCTGCAGATAAGATGAGAATAGAGTTTGAAATAAACTGAATCTGTACAATGTAATTCCTAAAATTAATACTGAACTGGTGCAGATGATTGATGCTCATTGTCTGAAGGCATTTCCCGGCAAAGTCACCTTCCATGCGAGTAGTCAACAACCAACCTTGGTATTTCGCTCGCAAATCTGTGAGATCCAAAACCGGCGGTGCGTTCATATTGGACACGGAGGAGCCAGGGCCGTTTGAGATACAGATTGAAGGGTGGCCGTTGACATCGCAGACATGGTAGGTACCATAAAAGGTGCTCACCAAATTGGTAGAAGGCAATGAAGGAGAAGACGGACGGATTGTGGGATTCAGATGGTCAAGTCGAAGTCGCATCGCAGGCAGCTCTGGCAAAGACGCGGAAATCAGCAAGCCATGGCGGATTTGAGTGTAAAGAAATACGCCAATCCCAATTTCACACAAAGTAACTATCTTCTTGCAAACATCACAGCCTGAATCCAATGACCATAAATATTTGCCTAGCCAGAAAAGCTAACGAAATGGTTTCACTAGATGAGAACCTCGCTCCTCGAGGCCCGGAGAACATGGAAACATATTTCGTTCCGGTGATTGGTGTCAGTCTATGTTTAATATCCTTAACATCCTCTGGGTCAAACTCTTCCAGCTGGTAGGATCAGGAGCGAAGACAATGCGAACACCTTTCCGCTGGATGGTGCTGACCTTGACAGAGTTGTCGAATACACCCCTCTTCTTCACAGGATTGGAGCAACAGCCGTTGGTGCCGCTCTCTACATAGTTTGAAGTGCGGGGAGAGCGTTTTGCCGTGTAAAACATTGCGCTTCGTTGCAAAAAACTCACAATCCCAGTTCCTTGCGCCCGTCGCTTATTCCAAGTGGAGGATGACTCCCGATATTTTGGGACAAAGAGGTTACGTCGCCATGGACTCTATCGATGGTGAAACTCTGTATTGAATTCATATTGTGATATGGGCGCATTCTCTGTGCTGAGCAAACAGGATGCGAATTGAAGTATGTCATTAAATTGCCATAAATTGAATATCAATGTCTTTGGTATAGTCCTCAGCAAATGCAATTAATTTGGATAGACCGGCCATACTCTTTGCAGTCATTGTGTGATTCTATAAATACCATCGTGGTTTGGAGCTGTTGTATGTTACGTTGGAGGCTCTTCCGCGGGTTCCCACACATGCCCTATCTTCCTTTCTGCCCAGGAGCCAGTTAACAAGTCCAACGACCTCCTCCAGCCTAACGGACTGAATCAACATTGAAAGTGACAGTGACAATGACAGTGACAGCAGTCCTCATCCCCAGCTCCAGGACAATTCAACCCTTGACATCGTCGATGTCTAAATTGCTGACAGTTTACTTTTTGTAACTACTGTTCCTCATCCGTTGATCTCCGCATGCAGCTCAGCATCATTATTGGCTACTGAATCCGCGGGACTTGATTTACAAACCTTCCACCCAATCAACCCTTGACCGGGCAGTGCAGCTTCGACGAATCGATCATCCCCCTTGAAAGAAAAGAAAAGGAAGTAAAGAGAAACAAAAAATCGTAGTTCATTTGCGCGAACCACTATTCAAGCTACATCCGTATCGCCGCCGTTCGTTAATCTCTTTTGCCATCTCCAAACTTTGAAAGAGGCCAGATTTCACGTTTGTCGAACTGCTCAAGATAACGAACCAAACTTTTGTTCTAGACTTGTCTCTTCATCCCATATAGTTACCCACTAAACACTACAATCCTATTTGAGGAATGCGATCCGTTCTTCTATAATTACCGATCTTCGCGCGTTTTCCCCCGTCAAACACACGATGAAGAGCGAAAAAGGACCAAAGAAGACTTGGTAGACGCTTTGGAATGTCGGTTTGATCGTGGTGGAAAGCCCCCACGAGGAATAACAGCGAATAATGGGCTGTCGAACTGGTCGTCGAGAGATCTCTGCTGAATTTTATGGTGCCGGAGTTGCTTAGCTGCAAATCAGGTGCTGGGATTTGGACGTTGAAAAAGCGTGAGTAATTAAATGGATATCCAATTTCTCTTTTCAAATGGTCATTCTCAATAAGCTATGACAAGCTGTGGCAAACTATGACAAGAGATTACTGTTTTAAGATGATGTACCTGCATTGGACTTCTTTGTATCTCTTTGTTGGATTGAACTGATGCTGATGCGATTTCTCATTTTATTAGGTATCTTTATGCGTAGTTGGTATACTGTTGATATCTACTTTATCCGTGGAAAGATTAATCTGCTTTCTTCCTCCTCAGGAGACCACGAACAGTACGGGTATACAGAATGGCCTGTTGCTATTCTCTCTTCCCTCGGCCCTCCAATACAAATTATCGAGCAACAGGCTGCTTGTTATATTTCTTGATTCTTGCTGCACTTGCCGCTGTGCGTGCTGGGGGTAATTTCGATTTTAGGCATAGCAATGTTAGTTCGCGAGCATTGGACGCAACATGCCCTACTCGGAATTTCACAGACATTAAACTGGAATACATTCAGTACCCGGTCTGCGTTGAACCGCGATGGGTAAGCATTGGCAAGGCTGAGGATTACTATGCGCCGCAACCATCTGGTGCAGCAGATACTTATAAGTCGATTACGTCTGGAACCTTTCCCTCTCCTTCCGCGACAGTAACAGCGACTGCATCAGTATCTGCTGAATTAGACCATGAGCTAGATACGGAATCGCCTCTTGATAATGTGAATTTCCTTTCCTTTGAAGAATGGAAGAAGCAGAATTTGGCCAAAGTTGGCCAATCCGCGGAGCTTGTGGACGGACATCGCCATGCTGCAGGATCCGAGAATGGACGTCAGCGCCCTACAGGCATTGACAATTCTTTGGACTCCTTCGGCGAGGATGGAGAGATTGAATTAGACTTTGGGGGATTTGCGCCTGAAAATTCAGGACCTGCATCCTGGGAACGGAAGGTGGGGAATGAACACCCATCACGGCTTAAAGATAGCGCCGGTGCTGCTACGGGAGGAGCAAAAGGCGCAACGCAAACTAATGCCGCTCCTCGTGGAACTGTGTCTCGAAGGAAGGATGCGGGGACTACGTGCAAGGAGAGATTTAATTACGCATCATTTGATTGTGCTGCTACCATTCTCAAGACTAATCCGCAGTGTACCGGGGCCTCGTCCGTCCTAATCGAAAATAAGGACAGTTACATGCTTAACGAGTGTCGGGCTAAAGATAAATTTCTTATACTCGAGCTTTGTGATGACATTTTGATCGATACTATCGTTCTGGCCAACTACGAGTTTTTCAGCTCAATTTTCCGTACCTTCAAAGTTAGTGTCTCGGATCGTTATCCTCCAAAACAACCTGATATGTGGAAGGATCTGGGTACGTATGAAGCTGTCAATACACGAGAGGTCCAAGCCTTCGCAGTTGAGAACCCTCTCATATGGGCAAGATACGTGAAAATTGAATTTTTGAGTCATTACGGCAACGAGTTTTACTGCCCTGTTAGTTTGATTCGGGTTCATGGCACGACTATGTTGGAGGAATACAAGAACGAAGGAGAAGCCGGTCGGTTGGAGGAAAATACAGCCCAGATACAGGCCGATGCTGCGTCAGAGCGAGCACGGGATAATTCAATCGTTGGTAATCAGAGCAACATTGCCGATGCAGAGGGTACGAAATCGGAAATGGTAGACGAGCTTGATGTGAGACCAACTCGTGTTCAAAAACTACAGGATATTTGTACATTGAGAAAGACCAGCATTGAGAGATTCTCGTTACAAGCTAAGATGTGTGCTATCAAGGAGGGACCTCGCGCAATGAACAGATCAGTCAATTCGGTTCAGCCAGATTCCGTCAAGCCTGCTGGTCCCATCAAGATGACAGGCAATGGTTTACCGGCGAATCTTACTGCTGAAGTATCTTCAAATAATGTTAACTCGACAGTTACTGCCACACCTACTGAAACCGACACCCGCGCCCAAAATCCAACGCAAGAGTCTCAAAATGAGGCATCTTCCAGTGCACCCAACAAAGCTGGACACGATCCTTCGACAGAGTCACTCAAACCCTCCACTACCGTTCAACCACCTCCATCCAACCCCACAACCCAGGAATCTTTCTTCAAATCCGTTAACAAACGTCTTCACATGTTGGAAACCAATTCCTCACTCTCCTTGCAATACATTGAAGAGCAGTCACGAATCCTCCGAGACGCATTCAACAAAGTAGAAAAGCGCCAACTAGCAAAAACCTCCACCTTCCTCGAAAATCTAAATACAACAGTCCTGCACGAACTCCAAGAATTTCGTCACCAATACGACCAAGTCTGGCACTCCGTCGCTACCGAATTCGAACAGCAACGGCGACAGTACCACCAAGAAGTTTTTGCATTAAGTACCCAGCTTGGCATCCTTGCCGACGAGCTTGTCTTCCAGAAACGAATTTCAATCATCCAAAGCGTCTTCGTCGTCATCTGTTTCGGCCTCGTCCTCTTCTCCCGCAGCAACGCACTAGGAAGCGTCGCCAGCTACCTTGAACTTCCCCGCGTTCACAGTATTGTCTCTCGTTCTCCAAGCTTCCGTTTCTCATCTTCCTCGTTCGATGTGCCCTCAAGAAACCCGGACTCACGCGTTACCCCACCCTACGGGGTCAAAGGTGCTCGTGGTCACAGGCGAACTGACTTCACGGAGTCCAGGGAAGAGATGGAAGAGTTGACGGCGAACCCCAACATCGCGTATTCTCCACCTACACCCACATCTGATAGCGAGGGGCCTGGCTCTGCTCACCGCCAGCGTTCGGAAAGGTCAAATTCAACATCATCAAGCAACTTCACTGTATCTCCACCCGCCCCGTTTCTCAGGTCTGAGAGCAGTCCGCCAGATTTAGGTGGTCATGATGAAGGGCCTGATGTAGATTCGTTCTCTGGGGCTCAGCGGGTGTGTTCTTGACGTACCTGTGAGGACATAGGGTTTTAAAGAATTATTATTTTTCTTTTAATCTACTCGAACCATCTGGTTCTTTAACTCGACTGCAATTGGGTGGATGCTTCTTGTTCGTTTTACCCCATTATATCGCCTTATATTGGCTAAAGTCTCATCAACATTCTGCAATAGAACGTTGAGCTTGCAACCGCTCTCCCACTTGACAGGATCTATTCACGGTGTTCTTGCACCCAAGCAGGACTCATACCCAAGGCAAGTTGTAGTACAAACTACTACAGCTGCTGCTGCTGCTGCTACAACAAGCATTCCGCTTGCTGGATGGATCGACAAATGCTGGAAAGTTTTTACGAAACAAGCTCGGCGAATGTTCACCGCCCAGCCCACTGCCATATAGCTAGCGAATGACATTGGCAATAACCTCTACGAAAGGTCCCTCCCCCGTTGTTGGACCACATAACTTTGTCAACGCACAACAAACACGAGATATACATCTGGACACGAAATTGGGGGCCCAATATAGGTATTGGATGCATGTTAATTTACAAGCGTCGATAAAACTTTGAAGAACTGGTTTTGTCAACTGCTTAAATTGTCGCGATTTCACACGTTGTTGTTTATAAACACCGTTGAAATGTGGACGTGACAGATGCTTTTGTCTAGGCAAGTTGGTTGATTAGACTTGTTTCTTCTCGCTTGAACTGCACACCCGCTTTTAGCATGCCCGGTCCAGAAAAGCTGCGTATGCTGGATTGATGGCTGATTTGGCATTCCCATTTTTACGTGTAGGGACGTTCCTGGAGCTTCCCCCCATTTATGATAATGATGGTGGTGATGATGTCTGTTTGGATGCCTAAACATGCTGGGCCGAGAACATTTGGCTTGAAGTGTTTTCGTGAAAACCTCGTATTCATAACAGAAATGTTTGGAATTTGCTTGCATTGATATTTTTCAGCAAGCTGACTTTGAAAGTGGATTATGTTTCTTATGTATGCTAATGAGGAGAAATATTCACAAATACAGTTCAATGTATTACTTGCTGTATAGTAATTATACTACATCAAACAAATGGCCAAGCTGAACAGCAGACTAATCTCTCGATAAATATTATTTTCACACATGTTGCTAGTCTCTCCAAAAAAGATTGTATGTGTCATCATGCTTTACTTTCATGTTTTCATCACCCTCTGTCGAGCTGTTCAACTGATATATTTCACTCTACAGGCAAATCCTGACATCTCTAAGATAGAAACAAATATTTTGCTTCATTTCTAATCTCATCACTCAGTCAAATTCAATACTACTACTCATCAATTCAGAGTCAAGGAATATATTCTATTCTTTCTATCTATATGAAATCAATTACAGCATTTTCAGTTCAGAGGGTTAGAGGGTGGGTCATGGGATTCGTTGAGCAGAGGTAGGTCTTCAGTTGCTTGTTTACTAGGTTTTGGAAGACGGACATATGTTTCTGAAATGTTTGATTAAAGAGTTGTTCTGAGGAGCCAGCTAACACAGCCAGGGGATCCCTAGCTATGTTTTTATTTACAGGGCAGTGTAGTTTTTTCATGAAATTGAGATCTGAATTTTGATTTGAAGGGATCCATTCGAGATTATTCTGGCAAAAACTTAAGCAATATGTTGCTGACAGCTCAATCCAAGGGAGGCCTGTCCCTGTTGTTCAACTCAGACAAGAGTACCGACTGGCCTGGTCCGCTGGCAAATGCTCTATATCATTAAAGAGAAAGGGAGAGGAGGAAATCCACTTCCATCACCATTTGTGGCCTGTAGTTGTTTTAACAACTTGCAGTTGAAACGATGCGCTGGTTGCCCGTTGCGCGTATTTGCAGGGAAGAAGACCCAGGGCGTCTGATGAACTGGAGCAACAGAGGAACAAACCTCGAAACGAATTGTTTTCATGGTTGTTCTTTTTCTTTTTCTTTTTTTTTTTTTTTTGGAGTATTCTGACTCATACAAAATAATTTTTGATAGCTTGACGTAAACATGCCGACTTTGGTTGTTTGGTTGTTGTGGAAACATGCCGCATAATCATTGATATCATCCATCTTATTAGATTCTCCATACCAGCCCATCCCTGTCCCCCAGGGCACATTAATATAGGGCTGGCAGGGATAGTTATCATTTGGCTGACCTGAACAGAAATCGAGGGGGGGCCTTCGTTTCAATCTATGAGTCATCGATGGAGACTTGCAAGCAGAAAGGCTTGCTTGAGATTGAACCATCAGTCAAAATCAGCATGATGATCTCTGTGGGAGATGGTTTGGAGGGTTGGGCTCTGTGGTTAGCACGGCTCAGGCATGCGGCAGTTGCCATGGCAACTATCGGGACCGCGAAAACAGGCCGTAGTTATCATCATATATCATCGGTCCCAAGCTGGACAACAAGTTCCGTTATTGACTGGGAACCATCTCTGTTGTTTGCTTTAAAAGTTGCATTTAAAATTACCTCGTGTGAAGACAGAGTCTGTTGTTGCTGTCAACACAAAATATAACAATTTACTTTGGGTGTGAGTAATATAAAACGCCGCCACTTGCTGTCAGCTCTCTTTTGTTTAATAAAAAAAACCAAATCTCACAACTTCTCTGCTCTCAAACAAATCCCCAGTTTTACCCATTCTGCTTCATTCCAAAGAACTTCCCTTTCTCACGACTGTTCGGTTCCTTCTCCGGAATCTATATCATCAAGCAAATCTACTACGAACCTGATACAACCTCCGCAATCCCCAGCCTGCATAACCCTGTAGTGGAGCACTCCTCTACCATCAACAGCCTGTATCCGATCTGACAACCACAACTCCCACAATGGAATCCAAACTTACAAGCCCCTCGAAGGCTGCTCCTCTCTCCGATCGTTCGACGAACACACACCTCTCGAATACAAATATGGCAAGAGACGTGCCACAGGCGTCATCCGGAGACTCTGACTTTGACCCCAAGGCTGCAAACATGAACTCGATGGAATATCACAGACAAGTGCTGAAGGACAAGATAGAGAGTGGGAAGAGGTGTGGTTTTTGTGTCTTGTCCCTGTTGTTGTGATACATGCTACTGTCATTCCGCCGTTACAACATTGGACATACAGCTGATATTTCATTTTTGCGCGCAAATGATAGTGAGAAAGGGACATACGTCTCTCCATCAGATGGAATCATGAGCCCATGCACCAAGAAATTGAGCGAACTTAAGGGAAAGCGGTTCAAGAAGTACTATATGTTTTTTTTTTTTTTTTAAATTAGCTCATCCATTCCAAGATTCATGCCAAATGTCATACTCCGAACTTGTCAACTAACACCGTTTTTCTCTACATGAACAGTGCTGGCAAGCCGCAAACCCTCTTCGCAAAGGCTATTGGCAGGAAGTCCATTGAGAGAATGAACGACGAATTCAAGGGCGGATCACCATCTTCAGAAAGGAATGCCTGAGCCACCGGGATTAAACACTTGGGCTCCCATTACCGGCTGAGACGTTTTTCGTTGAACTCTGCTTGCTTTTTCATTCTCCCTGATTGAAATTCTCCTTATTCCTAATAAGCGTTCTCTGTCCCTATTGCCCCTTTCTTCTCTGCACTTGCACATTCTTGATTACTCTTCCTTTTTCTTTTTTTTTTTTCCCTTCTCCCTTTACTTCTAGTGTTTACGCACTTATGCCCTTTATAGCGAGTTTTCTCTGATCTCCAGTGTATTCGGCTAGAGAAATCTGTTCTATTTTCCTTCGCTTACAAGGCTGTTGCTCTTTCGGTGTTGTTTTCCTTTTCTTCCTGTTTTCTCTCTCATGTTCACCTTGTTTTGCGACGGAAATCGGGGCGTTCTCTCGAATAACAGATAAATTTATTATACACTGACATGATAATGGATTTGGATTTGCTTTGTTCTTTTAACTGGGTTATGTGGCAGCTACGGGAACCACCGCCCCGCCGTGCCCGTTTGAAATGAGCATATCGGCCATCTTTGTTCTTTGCTTTTTTATCAACCAGTTTCATTTGGGGAATTTTTCATTTACACTGCCTGTTTGGTAGCTTCAATGACCAACGCTGGGCATGGGCTCATGCTTCAAGTTCTGTCATCCCCGATAGCACCAATCGCATATTGGTATGACCCTTTCTGTTGAAAATCTGCTCGTCTCATCAAGCTGTATTGAAGGATGTCTCCGTGTTCATCTTCATCTAGGAACTCAACACATGCGATTTCTACAGGCCCTACCTGTGCCGTATAGCAGCAGGAACATAGGGAACAAAAAAATCCGTCTGTCCGTAGAATATAGGTATACCTATGCCTGTTCAACCTTTCTTATCTCAAAAGGAATTCACAGCGACTATGATTCATATGAACTAACTTCTTCATGTTACACCATATTTTACAGCCAAAATATAGTGTTCGTCGCACGACCATCGTAACATGTCAAATTAGAGAGAGATATTTTCAAGATAAGCTTTTCATTTCTCTCAAGCAGCATCTGTAGGCATTGAATGCTCCAACTTCTTTACACTCATATTGCACAGAGACAGCCAAATCACTCATGGTGAGTGAGGCATATTGAGATTTGGAGCGGCAAAAAGAGCAGCTGCATCGACCGGGAATCGGACCCGGGTCTTCGACATGTCTAACTTGTTTGTTTGACACTTATCGACCGTTTCCACAGCGGTGGATGATGGGAATGTCGGATCTTAACCATTGGACCACCGATGCCAGACAACACAACATCCTAGTGGCCTCACAAGAGCAGATGACACAGCTGCGGGGAAGGGACAACATCGACAAGGACAGACTGTGAACCACACAGTCAAGTTAATCAGATATTCATCTACATCCACGACTTCCTTCACCTCCCCTGTCTGCTTCCTCTCATCACCTTCGCATTGTAATAGGTGTTGTTGACGTAGACGTAGAAGAGCAAATATGCGATTAGAAAACAGAAAACATAGTTTCAGCACGCAAATTAGTTACAAGCCAAGACTATCTAAGTAACTACACCACACTGGGAGGCTCCAGGCTTGCATGACACACGCGCTTAAACACAAAGAGAGGGAGGGGAAGCGAGTGTGCAGTTGGCCCGCGGCAGTGATACGAATAAAGAGGGGGTGATGATATAATAGAAACGGGAGGAATTGCAATTTTCAAGAAGGCTTGAACCGCCGCCATCAGGAATCACGATCTATTTGAAATAGTTAATCGCGCACACAAGTCCGGATGTGTGACATTTTTTCCCCTATGAGGTGCAACTAAATTGACTGACATTGTGGGGGGGGGGGGGGGGGAAATTGTGCTTAGAGTGGTCTCTAAATAGGCCAATTTCAAAGGCATCATACGAATCAATAAATACGTGATGCTTCCTGGCCGGGTTTGAAAAGGTAGATAGAAGATCGCTCACTGCCGCAGCGTCGGATACGGAGAATGCGGTAAAAGCGAGTTGGGTTGAATGCATCAAGTTGCTTGTCAGACATCCCCCCTGATTCCCTCACGAGTGATCGCAGGGTGAAGGGCCAAGGGCCAAGGAAGAGTCCGGAGCGCTGGTTTAGAAAAGGGGTTTATGCCTGTGGCTAGATTGGGGGACATTTAACTTGCAATTCTTTCTGTCGTTGAGGGTGTTTAGATGGTTTTATCTTATGGTTCTGTGATCTTGTTATGAGGGTTTTGATTTGAGATTGTGATCTCCAGTTTGTCAATGATGTTTCTAGACTGCAAAAGGACCCGTGTATCCGCATCTAAATATGTGGATCTTGTAACTATCTGGTGGCCTGATATTCATATGGCGTGTAAATGCTCCGCGCTTTGGTAGCAGTTTTAACTAAATAGTTAACTACCGCCTCCAGCGAGTTTATTATATATCAAGCTTCCGGCGGATGCGGGGATACGAACACAGAATAAACAACAACAACAACAAGCATACACACGGCTCTGCTATATACAGAAGAAACTGAGGGCTGATACATTGAAAAGAAGTCGTTCACTGCAACGGCGAGCATCGACCCGGCCTGGGTTGGTTATTGGTGCCAGAGAGCTTCCACAGCCGAGGTTCAACGTGCTGGGCCGAATAGCTCCTCAACGTTCAACGCGTCAAATTCCTGCCTAGGTACGAACAGCGAATGGATGGAATCGTGCGTGTCCGTATTTTACGTCCGGCTAATCCTGTGTCTTGCTTTAAATACACCAGCCTTTCTCCAGATTGAAGCTCTGAAGTTTCGTTCCTCTTCCCTTTTTCCTCTACCATCAAACCCCGGCAACGTTAAACTTTCCCCGCAACCGTTAATCCAAATAACCACATATTCCATCCAATCATGTCGGCCAGTTCAAGAATTCCCCCCATTGCGCTGCCCTTCGTGAGTGAGCGGGCAAAGCGAACCCTGGATTTGGTATGTACCGCGCTTCTATATAGATCCCGTGACATTTTCGGCATGCCGACTCGAATGCCGACGCCCCCACAACCCCCCAGTTACTGTCCTAGAAGCCCTCGCTGACCCACGCCATTTTTCTTACTTCAGGTCCAAAAATTCGTCGATGAAGAGTGCACTCCCGCAGACGCTGTTTTCAAGGCTGAGCTCGGCGAGGGAGATAAGAGATGGACCACTACCCCAGCCATCCTTGAGGAGCTCAAGGCTAAGGCCAGGAAGCTTGGACTGTGGAATATGTTCTTGCCCAAGAACCATTTCAAGGAGGGCGCTGGGTTCAGTAACTTGGAGTATGGACTGATGGCGGAGTATTTGGGCAAGAGTCGGGTGGCCAGTGAGGTATGGGATTACTCGTTGCAGTTGCAGCTTATTTCTCACCATCTGTTCTATTGGCTGGTTTGTTGACTTCCCCGGCCGACGAATTTATATAGGCTACCAACAATGCCGCACCGGATACTGGAAATATGGAGGTGTTCGCGAAATATGGCAGTGAGGCACAAAAGAAACAGTGGCTCGAGCCACTCTTGGAGGGCAAGATTCGCTCAGCTTTCCTCATGACGGAGCCGGATACCGCCTCCAGTGATGCCACAAATATCAGTCTTGATATCCGACGAGAGGGTAACGTATATGTCATTAATGGCCAGGTACTCTCAGCCCAGCGATGTGCTTTATATAACTCCATGCAATCTTTACCGAGATCTAACATATACACCCGCACTATCTAGAAATGGTGGTCATCCGGAATCGGTGACCCAAGATGTAAAGTCTACATCGTCATGGGCAAAACCGACGCCAGCAATCCCGACCCTTACAAGCAGCAATCCGTCGTCCTTGTCCCCTCCGATACACCCGGCATGACCATCCACCGCATGTTGAGTGTCTACGGCTATGACGATGCCCCCCACGGCCACGGTCACATTAGCTTCAAGAACGTTCGTGTGCCTGTCTCTAACATTGTCCTTGGTGAAGGCCGCGGTTTCGAAATCATCCAAGGCCGCCTTGGGCCCGGCCGCATCCACCACGCCATGCGCGCCATCGGCGCCGCCGAGCGTGCTCTCGACTACCTCATTGCCCGTGCCAACGACCAGTCGCGCAAGCCCTTCGGCAAGACCCTGGCTGAGCACGGTGTCATTCTTGAATGGATCGCCAGGTCACGCATTGAGATTGACGCTGCGCGTCTCGTCGTGCTGAATGCCGCGATCAAAATTGATCTTGGAGATGCCAAAGGTGCGCTGAAGGAGATTGCGGAGGCCAAGGTGCTTGTGCCGCAGACTGCGCTGACGGTCATTGACCGTGCGGTGCAGGCCCATGGCGCTATGGGTGTCTGTCAGGATACCCCGCTTGCTAACATGTGGGCGAATATTCGGACGCTGAGGCTTGCGGATGGTCCTGATGAAGTGCATTTGCAGCAGATGGGGAGGAGGGAGAATAAGCAGCGCAGGGATGAGTGCACGGAGAAGATCAGGAGGCAGAAGGAGAAGTCGCAGCAGCTGTTGAGTGCTAAGGGACTGAAGAGTCAGCTGTAGATCTGAAGCCTGTCCATTTTTTCTTTTACTTTTATGTTCTTTTGGGGGGGGGGGGGGTGTCAATTACATCTCCATAGATACAGCTGTAAACGAGGATTGTTTTATGGCTTGAAATTGGTTTTAAATATTTATCTGTATATAAATTTGGGGATCTGTGACGACCATTTACTATTCTTATTTTCATACATACATGTAAATTCCTCCTCTATGTATTAAATCCAGCGTAAATAAACCCAACATACGAATCAGATAAATACCTTTTTTTTTGCCATTGTTTAACCACCCAGCCCAGCCCCTATCACAAAGCGGTGACAAGCAGCAATAACTATATTACGCTCACTTGGCGATTTTCTCATAATTGTCTCAACACAGCATTTCGCCCAGAAAAAAAAAAAAAGAACTATCCGGACGAACGCGTTTCAATCTACCCTTCCTACCACATCCCCAACCTTGCGCAGGGAACGGTCCCACCACGGCGCCCGCTGTCGTCTCTCTTTGATCCAGCCGTCAAGCGCCTGCTCCCCAATGGATTCGAGTCCTCCGGCGTTCTGGCAACCCATCTCCGACTCGCGACTGGTCACCATCATCTGACCCAAGCGCAAGCGCAGCGCAATACGCTGGATTAGGAAGAGGACAGAAAGTGGACTCGCCTTGCAGTGGGGGTTCAAGCCAGCACGGGGATTTGTCCGCAGATTCTTTGTTATTCTTGTGACTTAGCTGTCACTCTTTTGCTAGAGGTGTTCCTGCTTACGCTCTTGCTCTCTCCCCTATCTCCCCTATCTCCCCTTTCTCCCCTGATATCTACCTCGAGGGAGCGGAGTGGGGTTGAGGCAATGGCAACGGGAGAACGGGATGGTACAAATGATGTTGTGATGTAAGTGATTGTTTCGAAATGGAACGAACAATACCCCACGTACCCCGCAACTGGACACAATCCACTGGCGGAAAGTGAAGGAGGTCCTGATCTCGCGGGAAACTAAAGGGAAAGTGAAAATGCAGAGAAGGAGTAGATTTGCATATTGGTTATTTGCTCCGTTTACTAATTCGTCTCTTTCTGAATGCTTAGCTCCGAACTCGACGGCGAAAAGGACCTTTTGAATGCCCTGGCTGAAAAGGAACCTACGTTTGCTGAGATCGATGATTGTCTTGCTAAGTATGTACAGTGCCATCTTCCTCTGCTGCTTTTCTTTAGCGAATCTAACTGCAAAAATAATCCCCCGAACATGTCACGGAGAGGTGCTGATTGTGGGGTTCCGCTTTTTAATACAGGTTCCGCATCGCATGCCAAAATGCCATCTTCCAGTGCTTCGAGAACGGAACGGAGTCTGCATCTCTGAGTGTTGAACGCCGGCTATGGGAGATACATGTGAAGATTAACACGCGCTTTCGTAAACTCTTGTCTCGTGTGCGTTTAACAGATCCTTTACTTTTTTTTCAATTTCCGTCTTTTCTCCGTTCCTTTCTTATTTTTGCTCATCCCCCGTTCACTAGTTCCGAGACAGCGATGCGCAGAAAAAGCGACCCGTCGAGAAACGAAAGTTGCAAAATCACTATTTGAACTTCATCAAATCTAGCCAGCGCTTTTATCGTGGCTACATACAGCATCTCGTTTCTAGATTTAACATCATCCCCGAGTTGGATAAATTGGCCAAGGAACTTAAGTTTGAAAGTAAGATATGATATGGGAATGAAATTGAAAGAAAGGGAGACAACTCGCTGATTATTGGTTTTTTTTTTCTTTCTTTCTCGTTCAAACAGCCCTTTCTACGGACGATAAACCGGATATTTCGGAGGATCTTCGCAAGGCCGTTCTTCTTACCTGCCATGCCACCCTTATTCGACTTGGTGATCTTTCCCGCTATCGTGAGATGGAACTGGTTCCGCCAACGAAGAATCGCAATTGGGACCGAGCTGTTAGGTTTTATAAGTTGGCTGATATGAATAACCCTGACTCGGGAATGTCTCACAACCAGCTTGCCGTTATTGGGCTTGCAGATGGAAACCATCTCCAGGCAACTTATCATCTGTACCGTGCATTATCTGCTCAAGAACCTAATCCGACATCGAATGGCAACCTGGAAATCGAGTTCAAAAAAGTTTTAGCAGCCTGGGCCAAGGGCGAGCTTATTGCAAACTCGAAGGATGAGAAGACGTCACTTATCTCGTCGTTCGTATACCTCCATGCCCAGTGTTATAAAGGGGTAGATTTTCCGGAGCACGATGAGCTTGAAAATGAGATCCTCAGCCAAATAGCCGTGGACCTCAAGGAACTTTCTCTGCCTCTGCATCTGCTTCAGAAGGTTTGTTTGATAAACATTGCTGCTGAAAATTACGCAAATGCTCGGCGGACGAATGGGAAAGAAAAGGATGGCGTGGAGCCCGCACGCGATGCAGGGTTGTTCTTCCAGAGACTCAATGTGAAGACCTTCTTCACTCTTTTGCAAATATTGGTTGCTGAACTTGAATGCTCGGCTGCGGCAAATGAGTCTGAGAAAATAAGCCCAGTCGCTCAATGCGTTCTGCCCTCCTTGAGACATTACAGTTCCTGGCTACTTTCGAATAGTGGCTCCTTGATCTGCGAGGATCAGGATACTCCGCTATATGTACAGATCAAGGAATTTTGGAAGATGTATGCGAGCACCTTGAGTCTGCTCACATCGAGCTTTGATGTGCCTAGCCTCTCCGAGGTCAGCTATCTGCTCCACGAGGACGAAGATACTCTGGGTTTCTGCCCGTTGGTTAATGATGTAACATGGCGGAGATACTTTAATGAACATGGGCAGAAGAAGCCGAGGTCGGATGACGTTAAGGAGAAACAACCCGTTCACATTGAAATGTTGTTCCGGGTTCGGGAGTTTGTTATTGATGGACTTGATTTGGTCGTTCAGGAGGTACTGTTGTTCCTTTGGTTTTTTCTGGAATTGCACATGTTCAAGTGAAACTATTTGCTAACCATCGTCCATAGAAAATCCCCATTATTTTAGCAGAGAACAATGAGACAAAACTGTTCGTCTACAAAGAAGAAGGCCTCCCCCAATTTTCAAGCCCGAGCGGAGGCCATCACCACTCTCTTTCCTCAACCAGAATAGATCGCGAAGACATCCGGCCACTTGAATCCAACAGTGGGGTAATGGAATACGCAACATCTCAGTCTGCCTCCGCATCCATCTCTTTCGCCATGAACCAGATGGTTGACAACCTCGTCGAATCCGAATCAACTGAAAGTTGCCCGCCCATGGAACGAACTCTCTCATCATCTACCGCATGGCAAAACGCAAACCTCAACAATGCCAACGCCAATCGCGGAACTCCACAACGGGACAGCGGCGAGCCCTCCGGCAATAGCAATGACACAGGAACGGGAACGGGAACTTTCCATCCATATAGTCCAATCATTGAAGCTGAGGCTCCGAAATCCTACTCCCCCCGACCAGCTCTGCCAAGTATCTTAAACACTCCCTTTGCACCGCAGCCAGGAGAAGCCATATCTCCTGCAACCCGCCCATCAACCGCCATGAGGCAACGTGACCAGTGCCAGCATACCATAGGTGCAATTAATGCTGCTTCAAATAATATCGGCGGCTCATACCCTCAGCCACAAGATTTTCCTCTGCAGCAGCAGTACGTCATGGGCTACCAAAACAACTTACAACTCCCATCCAACCCCCACGACTACGCATATGCAACACGCAGCATATCCCCAACGCAGACGCAGACGTCAAGTTTCCAATACAATAATGATGGCGGGTATAGCAGTCGACCACTTCCAATGGCAATGCAGCAGGCACCCCCAAGTCTCCCAATCAGTGGCTTTGTGGACAATAATATCAACTTTTATCAGTTCAATGAGCGGGTATTCGGTCAACCGTCCAGCCCGTATTATCCACGTTCATCACCCTATGTTCCGGGATCGAGTGTGAATTCTAATACCGCGGGTGTTAGTGGTCCGACACCACCGTGTGGACGGGGGTTTGGTGGGTGATTTTTTATTTAAGAGGCACTTTCTGGTGAATTTTTTTTTTCTTTTTTTTTTTTATGGGGATAAATAATTTTATCTTTTACTGTGGAAAATGGGAAGGAAGGGTCCCGATTGTATTCTCTTTCTCCAACCTTCCAACGGATCTCGTGTGATCGTGGTGGTATGGACTGGGAGATAAGCTTGCTTGCTGATTCTGAAGAAAGGGACACGGAATAATTGCGGAGTAGTCTGGATGCGCTATTGATTGAACATCATGATACACGACGGTCGGGAGAAGATGGTTCTTACTCCCCCTTAAGAACTCTCGTTGCTGCTTTCGGCACACTCATTTACCCCTGAAACCCATCTTGACCTTGCCGGGGCAGAATGGTATTAGGAATGCGCCCAACCACGCTCTTTTTCTTCAATTCCAGAATAGCTCACCAAATCAACTATGAAGATCTAATCCTCATACATTGACATGTACCGCAACCCCGTGTGGTTTCCTCGACCACCAGCCAGTCACGGCCAACAACAGCACGAATGGCACCAGCACCAGCAGTTCAGAGGCCCGCCTAGTTACAATTCCAAAACAGAGACCCAAATTTTGAACGGACCTTTCATTCTCTCCTTCTTTGTGCCAAACGCAGGAAACATAGCCTCCACCCAGTGGAGACTGGTAATAGGACCCGATATTTCATTGCGCCCCTTTCGCCTCAAAGACAAGGATGTCACTCTCCCTTGGCGGTCCCCGTGACTGCCCATCCAATCTTGTTTTCAACAAGACTTTGTCCGCACGGCAAATGAACGAACAGTCCTCTGCTTTTGAGCAAGATGCATTGATGGATGGATGGATCGATCGGTCGATCGAACGATCCACGATATGTTTTACTTTTGCACCAGTTTGTATTTGTCAATTTGTTTGAATGTATGGCGTGTTTTGCTTCCCCCCTGCTCCGTTCTGTATGCCCGTTTGTTGTGTCTGTTGAGATTTTGATACACAGAACCTTCTACACGTTACCTGCGTTGAAACACCTGCCGTTGTCGATTATACATGTATGGATGGATGTAGAAGTAGTTGATTGGTTTACATACTGCCATCATAAACTGCACAGAAAGTTTATTATTTCCCCGCTGAACTGGTCGAATATTCCACCATCATTTAAGAGAATGCATTTTACTTTGTAAAAACGTACTTCGTTTGCTGACAATGACACATTCCTTTTATTATACTCCGTACTTTTATCAACTTTTACCTGCATTTACTTGTTTTTAATATGCATTCTTAGCGATCTTTTCCTCTGCTGTTTAGATATTCGTAGTAAATGCTTGAGCGACATTCATCCGCCATGCTACATGTATCATTCGTCATAATACTATATCTGGTCTAAACGGGGGAAAAGTGTTGAACGGGCAAATTGCAGAATATGTCTAATGTCAGCGGGTTGAATTGGATGAATTTCTTGTTCATCCCATCGATATCGATCAGGAGAGGGAGGAAAATTGAAAGTATCTAGACAACAACATGATGAAGGGTCTATATCTGATAAATTTTGTTTGAGAAAGCGGTGTCTGCATTGTTTATGGGTATCTGGGGTTGAGCCTGTGGAATTTTTTTTTCATTTTTTTTTTTTCATGATGATCTGATGGAGGGAAGGAATGGCAATGGAGTTGAGTCTATGGATGTTTTTGAGGTGAGTCCGGAAGAAACTTTTTCATATTTTTTTTTTCAAGTCGGAAAAAATAAAAACACTGCTTATGAAGAAGGCTTGTAGGTTTGTTTGGGGAATGGGTAGCTGGTTGTATTGCACGTAGAGGTCAGTATTTTGCCCTGGACGTCTCGGGGTTGGGAGACGACAAAAGGAGCAGCGGGAAGATAGATATGAATGGGCTGAACTCACGATGGACCCAATTCCCTGATGCTGAGACTGGCGAGCCAGTGGCCCATGTCAACGCTTTGTTCGAGCGATTTGCCCTCCACGATACCGGCGCAGAAGCCGCCAGCGAAGGCATCACTATATTTCTCGAAAGAAAGAACAGATATCAGTATGCAGCATAAGCCATACTACTAAGCGATTCGTTTTATTGTAGGTGGTGAAACTCTTACCCTGCACCGTTAGTGTCATTGATCTCCTCCTTCGCAATAGCATGGACGGATGTGCGTTTAACCTCGACATTCCCCTTTGCATCAGCCACTGCAGCGATGGTAGGATCAGTTCCCTGCGTGATGATAATCGTTCGAGGTCGCTGAGTGTTCTTCTTGGACAGCGTGGCCATCTTCTTGGCGATTTGTTCGATGTCGGTCAGGCCCCAGTTATGGGCTTCGGAGTAGGCGAGGGCCTCTGCCTCGTTGCCTAGGACATAGTCTGTGTATGGCATGACGCTGTCGAGTTGGTCCTTAAAGAATTGGCAGATGAAGGGGGCGGAGAGGGAGAGCAGGAAGATCTATTTGCATTGGCGAGATGGGCGAGGGGGGTGAAATTAGACAAATGGTGTCTGATCTACAGGAGGGGTGGTGGGAGGGGCAACTGGTGCCGTACATGACGGTTCCAAGAGGACGTACCTTGTTCTTCCCAGCGGCCTCTTCAGCTAATGCCAGGATAGCTGGTACGCACACGGTCAAGTGGTAACCGCCGATATAGTATATCTTGGCCTTCTCGACCAGAGACCAGATATGTGGCTGCTTCAAGTGGTCCAGCTTGTACTCGTTGGATGCTGCAAGATGGGTGCAGAGACTTCGGTCGTGGCCTGTGATTATGACACCGCAGCGACCAGTGGGCTGAGTTTCATCGACACGATACTCAGTGTGCAGACCAGCCTTGTTGCAGGCTTCTTGGAGGATTTCAGCATATTTGTCTTTCCCGACACAGCCGATGTAGAGCACCGAGTTTGGCGGGAGAATGTACTACATTATTGACATGATTAGGCCTCAGACTCTCCAATTCGCCGACGCCCGCACTCTTAAAGAGAAGTAACAGTATATACCTGAGCACCACGAGCAGTATTCTGCGCAGCTCCACCTGCAATCAATCTGGCACCGTGGTTCTGTATCAGGTCCTCGTAGAGGCCCATGTGCTTCTCCTCCGCAAGAATGGCATCGTTGGGTTTCAACCCGTATTTCTCGAGCATGGCAGCATCTCTGGACCATAACTTAGTACAGACTTATTAAAGCTACGCAGTTTTAAGGAAGCCCGGAGAATTCCCTATTTTTGAACATACCCGACACCCTGAATATCTAATGAGGGGCATGTTAGCTAGGGGGCTGAGCGGGATGCGCAGAGGGCAAGTTGATGAATACCTAGCAGGGGATTCTCTAAGCAGAGAAGAGGATATCCTTCGGTAGCAGCCATTGTATTTAGGAAATAGTTTCAATTGGTATCCGTGCAGTTTTGTTGCTGTGCATACAGTCCGGTTGGAGGGAGATGTTTTCCTGTAGCGGTTTTGTTGTGTGTTTTTCCAGGGGTGGGGTTTGGGCTGAGCTCGGCAAGTTTTCTCTCTGCAGTTCAAGTTACTTACGACAATCATATCAAATCATATCATATCGTTACATGTCGTTACGACGCTGCTCTTAAACAAGCCGTAGAATCCTCATGTATTCTTATTCGATTTCTTATATATTGTCTGCCGGCGCTGCACTGAATCCTATATATATATTTCTATGCCATGCCTCTTCGGCGCCGCCCATCTAGCACCCGAGTTTCATTCTCATCTAGATATTCTCATGCAACACCCGATGTTGGCCAGCAGTTAACTAACCCCCCTCTCAAACTGGATTTCTCTCGTCAGCAACCTCTTCTCCAGCCGTGTATCACCGGCTGACACCGCTCAGGCTACGTATTTCTCGTCGTGCCATGCTAGACCAGCAAACGTCCTCCCCACTCCCCAGGCTGCAATTCTATCTCCGGTTAAGTAATCTCCCCCGCAAGCAAGCCAAACATATAGTTCTGGCCAGCATCTTCTCTCTTCTCAGGCTGTATGTATATCATTGGTCAGAACCTCTTGAAGCTCTGTGTTCTCTTAGTATTTGCTCAGCGGCATCTCAAACCCATATATTCTTATATCATGTTTGCAAGCCAGACGAATAGTAATCCGAATTGAAGATTTCATGGGATAGATGCATGTGAGATCACATTACACTTTAGTCCTTGAAAGTTTTAAAAAAAAATATAGAGGGGAGAAGAAGAGATGCTGAGTGAATTGTGATCGATGAGTGATGGAGACCTAAAAAGCTCTCCTGAACTGTTAAGATACACACTATAAATATTTAAATCAGTTTCCAGTTAAATCTTCAGTTTTGTCAACCAACACACAAGTTACAGACACTAACTCACCTTCACCCTCAACATCAAAGTACAATCGCCCACAATCCACAACGCCCTCTGAGCCACTCTCAAAATGACAGACACCGCCCTCCAACTCGCCGAAACCCTCCAAACCGCCTCCATAAACCCCCGTCCTTCCCCCGCCCATGACATCAACCCATCAACTGCAGTCGACGAAAAGGAACCAGTCGCAGCCACAACCAGCCGCCACCGCCTCCCCTCAGATGCAACATCTATACCATCAGACATAGTCGATCCCAGCCGGACGATACGGCCTCTGCAGCGCGCACCCTTTCCACCCCTCCCAGACCTGCGCTTTGAGCAGAGCTACCTGGCCAGCTTGAAGGGGGCGCAGACCTGGCAGAGGGTTGTGTGGATTACGGTGCGGGATCAGGTAAATGGATTTTTTTTTTTTTTCTTTTCTTTTCTTTTCCCATACTCTTCTATATCCTTTGTTCATTTGGCTCGCTGGATCAAACTGTTTGAGCAAACAGTTCCTTTTCTTACCTGTCCATTCGATATTCTGATGACGAGACTAACTAATATAATTACAAAACACACAGATCTTCCTACCCCTCATCCAAGGAACACTGTGGACCCTTGCTCTCGCAGGTTGGCGCCATTGGAACCGCGGCGCCCAATTTACTGGCAGGTCCCTGGGGACGAGGATACGCCGATGGTGGTGGAACGTGAATAACTGGAAGATACCCCAGTCATGAATGGATCAAGCGGCAAAAGAAAAGTATTCATTCCATATACATATACATATAAATATAATACGATTCTTTTTGGTTACCACGGTAGCACGCGGTGACCATACACGGGATGTTTTTGCGCTGCACAATCTGAGGCCACCCGGCTGCCACCGCGGTGGCCCTTCCTTTGGTCGGTTTGCAGAATGGAGGAAGGCCGGGGGTAGCGTTATACTGTTTGATTTGATGGATTGTCATATTTTGATGAAAAGCACAGGTCCCTTGGTGGGTGGCGGGTTGAATCGTTGGTCTGGAATATCAGATGCTCGTACGGACCACGGTGGTTGGAAATGGTTTCTGAACAGAGGCATTTTCTACGAGAGTGACGGGCTTTGGGGGATTATATCCCTAAATCAAATCATCGCTCAGGTATATCAGTATGTCCATGTAACACCTCGTTCCAGGAGAAAAGCCGTGTATATATAAAAAAAACCCATACCGGAATAAGAAATCAAGGCAATAAAAATATTTGCCGTTTGTGAAGTGTGTGTTATTTTAATTGCATCCAGCGGCCTTGAAGCCTCAGTCTACCTAGGCTGGGAAAAAGGAAAGCAAATAGCCCGGGAGCTATTAACTACCCCCATCGAAAACCCGCTTGAACAAAAATGAATTAAGGTAAAGAACGAAAGAGAAGCATGAAAGAAAACTGCTGGTATCCCTACAAACAACCTCTGCAAACGCAGAAGAGATACGCTTAACATATCACCAGAAACAAATAAGAAGATGGGCAAAGAAAATCCACGAAAGGGGATATATATCCACACCTGCCAGCTGATGTATGTTCAGTCAATCAAGACGAAGATGCTGAAAGACATCAAGGGTTGAAAGAAGAAGAGGAGAGAAAAAAAAATCGGTCCCATGAAAAACAAAAAACAAGGAGTAGTATCTATTCCCAATTGCAAACGCAAACTGGGTAAAAAGTGAAACGACGCGTGAAGAATCCCATCCATCAAAGGAAAACCGAAAATGAATGGACGAAGGTAATATCATCCCCGTATCTTCCCTCTTCCCTGCTTCTTCAAAGGGAGACCGCGAAATTGTACGCCACTGCTCAAGAAGACAGAAAACGCTCCGACAAGATATCTCGGTGGACTCTCTGAAACGGAAATACGGAGGATGCAAACCGTAGACGTAAATTTATATGCGCTATATCCGAGGAAAAGGCATGCTTAAAAGGGAATCATATAACTCCGTTTTGGCCGTGGTCGGATGCCTGTGGAAGTTTCTGTTTCTGCTGCTGCTGCTGCGGCTGCGGCTGCTGTGAGACCGGGGCATCAATGTCCATCTGGGTCATCTGCAGGTCTATCGCGGTTACCTGGGGAAGAACATCTTTGTTCTTCGAACATATCACGGATGTTGCCAGGTGTGTGGCGGACTGGGGGTCAGCGGTTGGTTTATCTGATTGGATAGGTGGTGCAGGCGCATTATGTATAGGCACATGTACAGCGAATGGCTGCTGCTGCTGTTGCTGCTGTTGCTGCTGTTGCTGCGGCTGCGGCTGCTGATGATGATTTAGCCCAGGCAGCTCGACTGCATCTCCCGTTGTCGTTGTCGTTGCTGTCGGCTGTATAGATGGCTGTTCACTCGGGGTGCCCGCGGCAGACGTGACAATAGAAGAATCAGGAGGCGACTTCGAGTTCGCGGTCGAAACCTGTCGTTGCGGTCGTGCACTGCTGCCATTGCCCATATGCTGTTTTCCCTTCCCATATCTCAGCTGCACAACCAGACTTTGATTCCGACCAGCTCCATCTCCGTCTCCACTTTCACCAACATCAAAGTCATCATCCCCATCACCAGTGCTCGACTCGCCATCGCCATCACTCATATCCTCATCTCCATCTCCATAATCCTTATCCTCATCCCCACTATTCCGCCCATTCCCACTCGACACCGCCTCAGACTCCTCATCCATCTCATCAACAGCATTATATCCAGCAATATGACTACCCGCCCCATTGATCAGCCTCCCGGCTCTATTCCGATGCGCTCTTCCATTTTCCGCTGACACAGGTTGTTCATCATCATCATCATCATCATCATTCCCCCCGTCCCCTTTACCGTCCTGGTCCCCGCCGTTGCCAACAGGCAACGACACTTCCTTGCGTTGACAACTCAACATGGACTCGCCATACGATCCGCCAATGCGGGCCTTTACCTGTCGTCCGCTCGCGGTGAATGTAGGGCCGGCCGGTTCACCGGGCGTAGAGAGACGGGAGTAGCGAGTTGATTTACGGGTTGGTAGGCGGTCTAATGAAAAGTCGTCGTCTTCGTCGGAGTAGGTGTATTTTAGTTTCTTGCCGCGGGTTCGGCCTTCGTAGAGAGAGAAACCGGGTTCCGGGAGCGCAAAGGCTGCTTTTCGTGCCAGACGATAGTCACGGCGTTTTCGTTTCTGGATGATTATTCGTACAGGCTTAGCTTCATATTCTACATGGATGCTTTAGGTTCGGTTGGGTTGATGTCTCACCTCTTCTGAGCCCTCAAATCTCGGAATGCTGGTATATATCTTCTCACTCAGCCTCTTAGAATGCTGCGATTTCTCCTCAGCCAGCGCATCCGCAACACTCTTCAATTCAGGAATTGTGCCTGCGACACTCCACCACGTCCTATTTTTCAACGCAGGATTGCTTTCGCGGTACAGTCTGAAATGGGTATCATCTCTGCCTTCAATGAGCCAGTAGCGCCGCTTATAGGCATCATTCCCCCAGGGCTGGACGGATAGAGGCTGGTTGAGATCATCGTCGTGTCTCGATTGTTTATAGGATTCTTTCAATTTGGCTTGGACTGCGTCGGATGATGAAAGAGCCCAGAGTATCAATGCTTTGAGAAACGAAAGCTGCAAGGTAACGTTTTTAGAACACGGACTAACGCATGGCGCATATTATTTTGGAACAGATGGCTTACTCGTTCAGTTGGAGTCAAGGAGGCAAAGCTCCCGCCGCCGTGAAGGGGGTTTTTACCGCCCCATGCCCGTGGCCACTGTGATGAATGAGTCTGGACAACTTCCTCAAGCGCGCGTTGGTAATGGCCTTTGCTATATCATAGACAACACCACATATCAGCATATCAATTCTCACAACTCTATTACAAGTAAAACATGTAATGTCTTGTCTTGGTCGTAGCGCCCAAAGAAAAAGAAAAGAAAAAATAAAAGGTAAGGATGGGGGGAGACGGTCGTGGGGGAAATTGACATACTCAACATCCTTCTTCCTATTAAGACACAGCCCAATTAAAGAGCACAATAACCTCTCAATATGATCTCCAGGGACAGTATCCGTAACCCCATTCTCGATGTCCTGCGGCCCATAATGTGGAAGGGATTTGGGAAAGACATCGCTAAATCTGGACCGGAACATCACAATGAACTATAGATGCGCCATAAAAAGAGGGAAATGTTAGCAGAAGCGCGTCTTATATATCACGACAACCAGCACGCGTTACCACTCGCCTGGTACAGGGGAGGAATATAATCGCGTAGGACCCAAAATACTGACCGCGATGTCTGGATTGTCTGCAAGGACATACTCGTGTGGCGGCGAGGGGGCACGTTTGGGGGGCGGAGGAGAGGCGGGTTTGGCGGGCTTCTCTTGGGGCTTAAAATATTTTTCGAGGCCGATACTGCGGTTTATGGAGGCGGCGACTGTTTCGTCGTCTGTGGACGGAGCAGACGACAGCGAGGACGAATCTGAGTCCGACATGGTCTCGTGCGCTGGAAGAGACAGGTAGCAGAGGAGGGAGGAGTTGGTAGTTGGGTGGTTAGTTGGGTTGGTGTGGGCGAGGGGGATAAGGTAGTTTGTTTCTATGGGCAGAAGAGCATGGGTTTGAGTTGAGTTGCTAAAAGTCAACCTTTTCTGAGTGCAGCGCGGTTATGACGCGGTTCTCTCGTCTAAGGAGGGTCCCATTGGCTACGGATAAGGGTTCAATTCCCGTGTGTCACTGGCAAAATTACAGAGAACTCGAGCTATGGATGGGAAATCAACAGGTCTAATTTTTTTCATATTGTGAAACTCATTGCTATATAGGCAGGCCCCAAGCTAGGGATCGTCGCAACTAGCCACCCCCAAGGGCAGAGATGTGTCCCACAGGCGACAAACCAGCACAATCCATCTCAACAGACCAAAGTTTCGCACGGCCAAAAGGCTCGGGTGATGATTCTTCCTTTCTAATACCAAACTTCGGTGACAGCGCCAGTCCTTTCTCGCGAGAAACCATCCAAAACGCGTCCAGAATGGGGCCATGTCGTCCGAAATCGTAAGCTAATCTGCTTGGTTCCAGTGGAACTGCTGGGGTGATAATGTTGCTTGGTGCTTTGTTGCGTTTTTGCATTTGGAAAGCGTCGCTAAGCGCTCGCTAAACCACACCTTGGGCTTCCAGAACACGCCAACACAGCCGTATACTCCCCAACTTCGCGGTCAGATACTCTGATCCACGCCATATTCGAAGATTGTCTGTTAAGTGTTTAAGTATACCAACGCCAAGCTGCGGTGGCATGGCACGGTCAAACATGTATTGGCCCCCACACGGCGTTAATTCGAGCAATCAGGATTTTGAAACATGTGTAACAAAAAGAACCTTGATTGCACGCAAGACATCCCACTGAAGGGTCAAGTTCTTGACTTGAAGTTGGTTGCCATTGTTGTCGCCTAGATAGGCATTCCGTCCGGATGCACGGAAATGAAAGGTGAGCGGGAGGATCCATAGAGATCCGCCAAACAGCTGATACACGATGAAACAATAGAGATAGATCTGTATGTTAATAGAGAAATGAAAGGACGCAAATATGAAAATATGGGGGAAAATATAAAAAATGTAAATAAAAATTCCTTGATGACATGCAAGTGGTTCTGTTTGTGGATATACTCGTAGCTCCATTAGATTCCCGGCACCTAGGAGAGCTTCTTTCCAGTGCGGGATCTCTGATTGAAGACAACACAACCAGAACACAAACAACTGGTTGATATGCGCGCTTGAAGATAAATCACCAACCAATCGTGGTTGATGCAATTCTTTACCGCCGCGCACTACCCGCGCCAGGGCAAAACAGCACGAGGTTATCTCGAGACATCTCTCCTCGTTCGTTCATTTGCATCTCCCATGTAAGTCTCAAAACCCCACATCGTATATCCCCCCGCAGCAACAGTGGATGTTGCAATGCTGTATGGTGCAGCATAGAAGCGACGTTCAGTTCGGAGGTTTGGCTTGGCTTGGGTTGTTTAGAAGTTTTTGTCGGGGAACCCCCTTGGGAAACCTGCGCTAGAGCCCAACCGGGTTAGCTTAGCGATGCACACCCGAGAGCCCACAACAAGATTTGACCTCAGCCAATTTCAGTGTGCGAGACGTAGGAAGTCGAATATCAATCGCCCTTGGGAATATTCCGCCCTCCAACGCCCAGCCCACTTCTGCGAACAGGTACGAGCTGCTGCCATCTTTGCCATCTATCGACCACCGCTGCGTTTGTTTTCGCTGACATTTACCTTTCCTGCACAGTAAGACGCCATGGGTCGAGTGATTCGCAATCAGAGGAAGGGTCGTGGATCGATTTTCAGTACGTACGCTCCATAGGATATATTCATTTCTTTGCAAACCCCCGATCTATCATCCATTGCTTCCAGCGGATCACGTATGGGGAGACTGGGAGTTATCAGGAGAGGAGAGAAGTAAAGCAGGCGACGGAGGATGAATATATTATGCATAATGTGTAAAAAAAAAAATGTCATTCTTCTATATGCCGTTGCTAATTCCCAAACGCCAAATAACAGCGGCCAACACCCGCCTCAACAAAGCCCCGGCCCAATTCCGCACCCTCGACTACGCCGAACGACACGGCTACATCCGCGGCGTCGTGAAGCAGATCGTCCACGACCCAGGCAGAGGAGCACCGCTCGCCAAAGTCTCCTTCCGCCACCCGTACAAGTACAAGGATGTCATCGAGACCTTCATCGCCAACGAGGGCATGTACACCGGCCAATTCATCTATGCGGGTAAAAATGCTGCCCTGACGGTCGGGAACATCCTGCCCCTGGGCTCGGTGCCGGAAGGTACCGTCGTGACCAACGTTGAGGAGAAGATTGGCGATCGTGGTGCCCTGGGTCGCACTTCGGGCAACTACGTTACTGTCATTGGGCATAACCCCGAGGAAGGGAAGACTCGTGTTAAGCTTCCCAGCGGGGCGAAGAAGGTTGTTAAGAGCCGTGCGAGAGGGATGGTTGGCATTGTTGCTGGTGGCGGGCGTACGGATAAGCCGTTGCTCAGTACGTTCTGCCCTCGTCCTTTTATCCTTTTTCTTCTATTTTTTACACTTCATTGTTCAAAAATCACCGGGATCCATGCTTGCAACGAGACTTTTTGGACAGAAGAAATACACACAAAAGCATGATTCTAACCCAATAAAAACACTTACAGAGGCATCCCGCGCCAAGCACAAGTTCGCCGTCAAGCGCAACTCATGGCCCAAGACGCGTGGTGTTGCTATGAACCCCGTCGACCATGTAAGTTCATTCCTCTACACCCCATGAAACAATCCATCCCATAACTAATCAAAACACCCCCCCAGCCTCACGGTGGTGGTAACCATCAACACATCGGTAAAGCTTCGACAATCTCCCGGTACGCCTCCGCTGGTCAAAAAGCCGGTCTCATCGCTGCCCGAAGAACTGGTCTGCTCCGTGGTACCCAGAAGACCAAGGATTAGAAGGGAAAAAAAAGGACTTGGGTGTTGGCCTATTGTTTTTTTCCCCCCTCCTTTCCTCTTCTTCTCCTCTTTGTGTTATCTGGGCGATTTGCTTTTTTGTTTTTTTAGTTTTTTAGTTTTTTTTCACTTTTTTTTTTTTTTTTACATTTTTTCTCCCTCATGTCCCCCTTGTGCGTTGTTCCTGTTGTTTCCCCCCTGCCCTCTTTTATTAGCATAAGTGCAAATTATGATGGGTTGGTTGGAGTGGGAATAAAAATATTTAAAATGCTCAGCATATTTTTGATCACGCCCTCTTCTTTGCTTTTTTTTCTCCATAATTTTCGTCCATGGCCCTGTGCACGATATATGGCACAAATACAATATATGGTGAAGAGGCGGATTAGAACTACGTAAAACAAGACAAGGAGAAGGAGAAGATTGATTATGTGTCAACCCTGTTCTGCCAATCAAAAATGAAAGCACGAAATGCTATGATCCATTTGTACAAAAAAGTCTTCCAATCTCCTTCAGGTCGCATCTCATGTTGGCATTTTCCAAACCCTTTTGAGGAAATTCAAGACAGACATTGGATTGCAACAATTAACATGAATACTGATGTATACCTAAAAACTATAGGCATGACTCAGTGAAAGGCTTTTTTTTTTTTTTTTTTTTTTTTTTTTTTTTTTTTGTTTGGTGCTGCTTTCAGTGTCTTAGATGTTTTCTCTGGCCTCTGAAGAGCACGCACTGCACTGCCATAAGATTTCTTGCTGCAATACCCAACACACGGCCGCGAACTTCCAGGAAACTAAAATATGCGGTGCGATTAAACCGCGGCACCATCGCTCCGGAATGGCTTGACGCCACTTCTTGCAGAGGTGACATATGTATTTCCCGGCCCAGTTCCCTCATCGCCCGCGGCCGAAAGAGGGCAGCGTTGACCCACCTCTTGTCGTCTCTGGGAGGGGCCCAGGATTGTTGTTGTTGTAGTTGTTGTTGTAGTTGTTGTTGTTGTTGTTGTTGTTGTGAATACAGGCTGAGTGAGAGCCACGTGGTCTTTGGGCGCATCCCCCCAAGTTATTTAATTTTACGCAAATAAACCAACCAACTAACTATCCAGACTATGGGACCTGCCAAGTAGTATCCTGCTTTCCTGCTTTCTTGGAATCGAGGTGGAATTTTGAGGACTCTGATGGGCAAGCAGTTGGTTGATCAGAGAGAACACCGCCTTTCCTTAAACACACGTATATTGAAATATATGTGGTGGTGGTCGGCAAGTCTTTCTGGAGAACGACCAACTAACCCCCATATGCCACGGATGCCCCTTGGTCTGAAGTCTAGCGTACACGCACAGAGCCAATCGCAGATCGGGCAGTTGCCGCGACTGACCAACACGCTCCTCGATCCTCTTTTCCCTTGACGAGGCCTGCGTGTGTGGCGGAGATGTACCTGAATGGGATATTCCGAACCCTGGGAAGGGTTTGAGGGCCATTGTCGGTGTCTCATTCAAAGCGGCAGTAAAACCTGCAGGGGAGTCTGTCTGTCTACCTCTTTCCGCCGCGTCTTGGATGGCAATCGACGTTTCGAGTAGCTTAGGAGTGTATTAGTCTATATAGTTTCGCTAAGCTGGGAGGGCCGCATCTTTCTTCGTTGTACCTAGATTGTCGATCATTGCATTTTATTCTTGGAGGGTCCCTGCCTCTCCCTCACTGAGAAATGTACATACGCTCGCTACCTTTCATCATTTCAGGCTCCGTTTCTCTGCTCAATTTGCCTGCATCCATGGAATCCAACTGGAGGGTGAATACGCGACTTCCAGTGATGTCAATGGATATTATCCAATATGGATCTTGACACGAGAAATGTAGACACAATCTTAGCCCTTTGACGTCCCATCCCTTCCGCGTTCATAGAGGGAGCTTTTGGACCTGCCAATCAGCAGCAGCATTTGACATTCTTTCTCCCAATGGCATGGGATGATGATCTGGTTACATTAGAAACGGGATGTGCCTCTTTGAATGGCCCAGAGATTATATTGCCTTTTTATTTTTTATTTATATATTTGTTTTATTTTTTTATTTTATTTTTTTTTTAACAGCAGGTTTAATTGAAATGCTGGAGTGCATATGTAGTTTCTCCATTCAAGTGTGATAAGAGATATATATCTCCCTTCCCCCTAATTCACCCCCTGATCTGTTCATACCATCCCAACCTCCTCTCCCGTCCTACGTGCCTGGTTCCCACTATTATTTGTTATACCCTCACCACAACTGCTTCACGCAGAACAAGAGAGACCAGGATGCCCAACAGGCCCAGATCAGCCGAAATCCTCTCGTAACTGAGCTAACGGCGCACACAAACTATCCAATCCCGCTACCCCCGCTCACCGACAACTAAACTGGCGCCGTCATCGGCTTTGAACCGACACAACCACCACTGCGCCAAGAAGCCTGCCAGAGGCCTCCCACAGGCCTCGCCCCCCTGCCTCTACCCCCCTGCCAGCCTCTCTCCCTTCTGCCAGCCTCTCTTCCCCCTGCCAGCCTCTCTCCCCGGGCCTGTCCGTCCACCTTCGCCTCTTTACCCTCGGCTTTCCCCCCCTGTCGGCTCCCGCTAAATCCTGTTCAGACCACCCACACACCAATCAGCGGGCAACTCCTGCAGCTGGCAAACCTAGAGAAGGGGGGGGGGGGTGGGGGGGAACCCCACCAAGGACTGGCAAATCACGTGGCAAGCCGGCTTAGGGGCAACCCAGAGCCACGGCTTGGCCTACGTATGTTTACATAATCACACGACGGGCCAATGACGGCGGATGCCGCGGAGAATTCTGCCGCCTCGTGATTGCTGCCAAACTGACCAATGGCGCCTCCCCGTCAACGGACAGCCGCCAATCGGGGCCCAGCAGCAACCAACAGCAACCAACAGCAACCAGCAGCAACCAGCAGCAGCAGCCCGGGGTTGGAGCTTTGGGACGAACGAGCGGGGGGCGCGCGCGGTGTCGTACGACCAGCAGAATGAGAGGGGCTGCGGCTGCCTGGAAAGCATATATTATGTATGTACAGCCATTGTACACACACACCGAGAGAGATACATACATACACACACACACACACACACACACACACACACACACACACACACACACACACACACACACACACACACACATATATATATATATATATATATATATACCTGGGCGGGCCAAGGGCTGGTCTGGTTGGGAGGGGCAGAGAGAAACACCTGTTGACACACCCGTTGGGAGCGAGGGAAGAGAGAAGACTTTTCATAAAGCCTTTTTTTTTATTTTTTTATTTTTTTTTATTATTTAAATTTTTATTTTTATTTTTTTTTCGGGCTGGCACTTTTATAACTACGTAAAATATATACATGCATAACAGTCAGTACAATATATATATACATGCTCCCTGCAGCCCAGAACGGACCTTATCTACCGGCGTCTCTCCAGGACTTGTTCTTCTCGACAACGAGGGAGATCGACATTGGAGACTGAGCGACAGAGCAAGACAGTATTCATTCTGCTCCACCCTATTAAAACGAAAAAAGCAGTCAATATCTATCTTTGATGGCATTGAACACCGCGGGCCTTGCAAGTCACGCCCTCACCACCACCACCACCACCTTCTTCTTCTTCGTCTCCTCCGCATCCGCATCCGCCGCCGCCGCCACTGCTATACTTCACCGCCCTCCGTTACCCCTGCTGCAAGCTGCCTCTGAAGCGACCACCGAAGTGATCCATAGCCTTCTTCTGCTTGCTCCCGCGGGCGACAGACACCCCCCACAGCAACCATACCTTCCACCCGCGGACGACTGCCCAGTGGCAACCGGCTGCACTACAACATTTACCCATATCAAATTCCCAACTTCACCAATCACAATCAAACTACACGACCAATCGAACCCTTGAAAAAATAAAAAAAGAAATTCTTTTATATATATATATATATATATATATATATATATATAAAATGCCAATCTCAACCTCCTCCACCCGCTGGCGTGCAATCGTCAACCGTGATGCAACAGCCCAATGACTTCGTCTACGGCGTCCGCACCACAAAGATCTACTGCCGCCCCCGCTGCCCCGCCCGCCTCGCCCGCCGTGCCAATGTTGAGTTCTACGACACCCCCAAACAGGCTGAGAAAGCAGGCTATAGACCCTGCAAGCGCTGTAAGCCCGAGGACCTGTGCGCGCCGCCGGATCCGCATATCAAACTGGCGCTGAGGGCGTGTTTGACTATGACGAGGGCGGCGTCGGGGGGCAGTGCGATGGCGCAAGGGGCACAGGCACAGGCACAGGGACAGGCACAAGGACAGAGACAGGGACAAGTACAGGCACAAGGGCAAGCACAGGGGAGGAGGCGGATGCAGAGGCCTACGCTACAAGACCTGGCGAACGAGGCAGGGCTGACGCCGTCGCATTTCCATCGGGTTTTCAAGAAGGTTGTGGGGATTACGCCGGGGAGGTTTGCGAGGGAGGTCATGGACGGGAAGAAGATGGGGGGCTATCTGAAGCGGCTGGAGGAGGGGATCAGTGCGAGTGGAGGCGGGTATGCAGGGTATGGGGGTGGAGCGGGGGCCAAAGGGGCGAAGGGGGTGAGAGGGGGAGATGATGGGGACGGTAACGGGAAGGGCGAGGGCGAGGGAGCTGCGGGGAGGGAAACTGCTTCTGCTGACGTTGTCGCGGAGGGATTGGTGGTGGATGGGCTCTCACCTGCTGCGGATTCGCAGACTTTTACCGCTCCTCTGTCTGATGCGGGCGGGATACGGATTGACTGGAATGAGTTCGATAGGATGCTGGTTGGCGGTGCTGGTGCTGGTGCTGGTGCTGGTGCTGGAGGGGATGCAGGACGAAATAACAACAACCTCAGTAATAGTCGTCATCATCTTCCTGGTCCTCTGCCTCATCATAATAGAGGCTTTTCCATAGCAAACGACACCAACACCAACACCCGCCTCTCACCGGCTCAACCACAACAGCAATCCAGCACATACCCCCCACAGTCCACCACGACAACGGTAACCACAACCACAACGACACCACCAGACATTCTCACAAACCGCACCCTCCTCGACCACTACGAGCTCCCCTGGGACTCCCCAACCTGCACCCTAACCTTCCCCACCACACCACACCACCACACCACCAACAATGCCACCAGCGTCACCCCCAGCGGCTACAGCAGCGGCTCTCTCTCCCCCTACGACCCCTACGCTCCCCTCCTCGACACAGCCGCAGCCGCAAACACAGACTTCTACAAGTTCTTCGCCGGCAACATCAGCAACGCCCCCAACACCGCTCCCACCACCTCTGCAGGCAAGCAGCAACAGCAACAGCAACAGCTAGAGCTGGAGCTGGAGCTGGAGCTGGACCTCCTCCCGCTCACGGCAGCCGAGTCGGAAACGATGACGCCTGTCGATACGCCGCCCTTTATCGTTGATGGATTGGTGGTGGGTGTGGGCGGTCTTGGCGGTGGAGGTGGAGGCGGCGGTGCACTGGCCGGGTGTTTCTCCGGCACGTCGAGCTCGGTGCCGTCGACAAATGCGTCACCGTTGTTGTTTGAGGAGGTGGATTGGTATGGGAGTCCGAGTATCTTTGAGACGTATGCCTGATGGCCCTTTTTTCATCATCATCATCATCATCATCATCACCTCTACTTTGGGTTCTTTTTGTTTGGGTGTGCCTTGGGGATGCGGGATGCGGGATTTGGGGGGGGTGGTTGTTTGGTCCCTAGATAATTGAAATCTCCCCGAAGTCCTAGGGAAAATATTTTTGTCATCTATTTGTTGTTGATGCCTATTTGTGGTTGTATATTATTTTTTTTACATTACCGCCCCCACCCAAACAGGTGAATAAGGGCGAGTGGTTTTTTTTTTTTTGGGGGGGGGGGGGGGAAGGAATAGGAATTTGGGAAGAAATTGGGAGACTGGGGGAGAATCGGGGGGTCAGATGGGTCCTGTTACCCTTTTTCTAACCCCCCTAATTCCAAATCATGATTTCTAATCCTAACCTATCTAAACCAAACCAAACCTGGTGTTGACAGATGTGAGGGAGGATGTGTCCATGTAAAAAATGTATCGAATTCAAAGCCAGAAACAGAACATGGTTATTCATTCTTATTTTTTTTTTTTTTTTTTTTTGCGGGAGGATTCACAGCATCCGTGTGACCGATAGTACAGAAATAATATGAAAACCAAACTGACTTCCAAGGAGATTGGGGGAGTATTTAGATACTGTGATTATTACACCTAATCCATTCTTCTTCATTAATTAATTCACTAATTCACTACTTCCTTCATTCAACTTCATTAACTCTATGGGGGGCTGTGAGCGGAAAGTGGCAAAAAATCAGATCTGTATGTCTTACATTCTAACCAGGGAAAGGGAATGATGGATGAGAGGAGGAGAAGAGGGGGGGGGGGCATGCATGCATCGTTGGTTAACCAAAGGTGTGGTGGTTTTTGTGCTCCACCTACCAACCAACCACCAAACCCGTTCTCCCCCAAGCTCAATCTGCTAAATCACATCATTTTGGCAAAACAAGGGAAAATAATGATTGTTGGTTCATGTGGATGAGTGGATGGATGGATGGATGGATGGATGGATGGATGGATGGGTGGGAAGAATGGGTGGGAAGAATGGGCCAGCGGATATGTAGATGGATAGTTGGTATTTTTTTAATTACGTTCGCGCCTGGGCCTGGCCTGGAACCTGGGGATGGGAAGGGGAAGGTAGGGGGTGGTTAGGTCAAATTAATCGGGTTTAGTATTATTTAAGTATTTCTATCTTCTTTCCTTAAACTTGCCTCCAAACGGTTAACAACAATAGGTATGTAAGAGATAAAAAAAAAAAAAAAAAAAAGAAGACATTTGTCGCTGTGTGAGTGGGAAGGTGTTGGGGAAAGGGAGGGGTTGGGGGTGGGTTTCGTCGGGTTGAACACGCTCTAAACACGCTTATCGATTATCTCTCTATCTTTCCTTCTTTCCTTCTTTCTCTATGTCATACACAAACACAATCCCTCCATGCTTCTTATATGGGTGAATGGGACCATCGTCAAAAGGGCTGGGGCGGCGATGAGGTTGGGGGGGTGGGGGGAGGAAATAAACAAGAGCATTCATAAAAAAACAAATGTAACTGTTTGCAAAAGAAAATTGCAGATGATACGATATGTAAAGATATCATAGCATGCTTGACTTGCTTCTGCTGTGCCTTGTGCCTTGCGCCTCTCGCTTCACTTGCGCCTTTCCAAAAGA